TGGCCTTTGTTAGTCTTGTATGTTTTTTTTTAAATTTTAGTTCATTTATGTGTTTCGGAGTTTACCACCAAAAATGTACTAAATTTTCAAATCGAAAAACATGTATTTAATTCTAAGAATCCCTTCATCAGTATCTGGCCATTGTGGCCGCACAATTAGTTGTTAATAATAAGGTATGAAAGCTCAAAAGTGGAATATAAAAAAGAAGCTTTATGAGGTGCCGATGTGTCTAGGTGCTGATTTGTCTTGATACAAAACTGTATTTCTTGAGTGCCGAAATATTTTTCACGGATGCCGAATTGTGCTGGCGCCGATTTGTCTCGGTGCCAAAGTGTCTAGAATTCGTCAATTGTATGCCGCAGTCCGCGGACAGAGGAAATGAGAGGGAGAAAAATCCATTTTTATTCACTCTGAGATGACCAGTTTCTGTTCTTAGTTTTAAATTATACAAACACAATCAGAAAAACGAAGTCCAATATGAACAAATTTCAGGCATGGCTGAAGTAAATTCTGTTTTTCTCCCATTTCCACTGTTCGCGGACTGCGGATTAAACCTTTTGTTGTACCTAATTAAATGCGGATACATTCATAACATGCCAAGAAATACATCAACTGGACGTCAATAACCAACTTTGACGTCATTTGATATACGACGTCACGCCCTGATGACGTTACATAAGAGACCTATTGAAGAGTTTTATTTGAAAGAGATGCGGTAATGAACAAGTGCTTATATAAATTAAATATATGGGCGCAAGTGCTTACATAAATTAAATATATGGGCACATGTGTCTCTCCGGTAGAAAGAGGATTAACATGTCCAACATTGTCGTCTTCTGAAATTCCAAGCGGATAACAACTGAGGAGTTCCGAGAACAGTCTGAAGATGTTCCGAAAGGGGTGCGATACGGGGTATGAGATACGGGATTAGCTATGCGATACGGTGTTTGCGATATAGGGTAGATGATACAGACTGGAGAAAAGAACCTTTATTAAAGATACAAAATGTCTGTATTTAGTACTAAATATATGATGAAATATGATATAATGGTAAACAAACCTAAATGTCTCCTATATCTAAACTCTGAGTTTTTTGTATCAATCACAGACATGGCAATATATTTAACAACTGAACCACGAATTCTGGAAGCGAAACATTCAAAATCATAGAAAATGGTCACATGAAAACTTGATGACATAATTCTGGCAAAAAAAATATCATCGGAGAATACAACCATTAGAGTAATCTCTAAATGTGTGGAAACCACGAGGACGATGGATATTTACAGGGTAATACTGGTTCCCTCAAATCATCCCGAAGTTGGTATTGGTGTTACAATGTCTATTAATAAATAATGTTCGATATAGTCTTATGCGTGGGCACAACGTTATTTCGTTAGGACGATACATGGTTAATGAATGCATTATAAAGAATTCTACCATAATCAAAATAGTTGTGAGAAAACAATGTCCATTTGTACTTGTGGAGTCTCGTATGCAGTACGATTGGCAGAAATGCACAGCTGTTAGCGTTCTCATTCTTCCTGATATGTCATGAATAAAAAGAAAAGTGACTGCAATGAGACAACTATCTAAGGAAAAAAAATAAATAAAAAATTCAAGAGTTCTTCCAACACATAAAAGATATATAAGAGGTTACACACACGAATCCTTTATATTTACTGTATAAGGATAAATGAAAATGATATAACACCACGTCTCTATAATATGTCAATAAAAAGAAAATTTAACAGTGAAACAGTGAAAAATGTAATAAAATAATAAGAACATTCAAACAGAAACAACGAAGCTAATCTAACTTCATAATTAACCCCTCACTTTTCCAATCCCCAACTCCTCTAAATAGTTATTAAAATTTCTTGGAGGTACAGAGTTATAGTGTTTTAAGCACATATATATCGTAAACTGTAAGATGTTCGACACAATACATAGGCAACACATCATGTGAGAGGACATGCTACCCACTTGTTTTGCTAAGCTCTAAAAAGAAGGGGAGAAAAAAGAACTTTTTTGTCTAATATCTATTTCACTTTTACATATATTTACTTCTATCATTTCTGAGGACATCCCTTTCCTCCTTTTTCGTCAAAATTATGTGATGAGTAAAATATACTTTCCCTTTTCCCCGTCCTTGAAATTCTGGCTAATTCCCTGTGGTGACAAGATACATATCATCCCTGTCCCTTGCTGGTGTTTAACAAAGTGAAAATTTTAAATTAAATACTTAACACATGGAATCCATTAGTTTTGCTGTTATTCCTATTTCAACTTTTTTTGCTGAAGCAACCATCAGTGTGAAAATCTAACTTAACCTTCATTTTGACAATATTATGCCGACTCAAGTATTGGTCGGAAGCTTTTATTTAGAACTATTCCTATAAACGGAAAATCACCTTGACCATCATACATTCTTAAATATGTAAATGGGAAGTGTCCGATGTCTGAGGTTTACTTGTTGTTATGTACTATTATTTCATGTATGTATGTATGTCTCTGTCTTGAGTGTTTCGCGTTTAGTTGTAATGTATTCCTGTCACCTAAGGTTGTCATGTTAGCGGTATTTTTAACATTGCCATTTAAGCGGGAGGTTTGGCTAACCATAAAACCAGGTTCAACCCACCATTTTGTTCTTAAAATGTCCTGTACCAAGTCAGGAATATGGCAGTTGTTATCAAATAGTCCGTTTCTATGTATGTTGGCGTTTGTTTTTGTAGCAGTTCAGTGTTTCTGTTGTTCCGTTGTTTTCCTCTTATAGTTGATGTGTTTCCCTCGGTTTTGGTTTGTGTCCCGGATTTGTTTCAGTTAAAACTATTTATAGATATACGAAGATGTGGTATGAGTGCCAATGAGACAACTCTCCATCCAAGTCACAATTTGTAAAAGTAAACCATTATAGGTCAAAGTACGACCCTCAACACGGAGTCTTGGCTCACACCGAACAGCAAGCTATAAAGGGCCCCAAAATGGCTAGTGTTAAACCATTCAAACAGGAAAACCAATGGTCTAATCTATATAAAAAACGAGAAACGAGAAACACTTATGAACCACATCAAAAAACGACAACCACTGAACATCAGGTTCCTGGAGACTTGGGACAGGTGCAAACAAACGTTTTAACAGGCGCCAACCTTCACTTTTATGACTATTGAACAGCGGTATACTACTGTTGCCTTTATTTATAGATACGTTCAACAAAAATATGTTTAATAATATGCATATAATATATGCATAATGGTTTACTTTTATAAATTTTGACTTGGATGGAGAGTTGTCTCATTGGCACTCATATCACATCTTCTTATATCTATATACAATTTCTACAATAGATATGAATTTGTTGTTATTTTGATCACTCACCTGGTAGATCAGGTATTACAGCCAAGATAGCGCAACGATTAATAAAACTTGATGCAACATTCAGAGAAGAACCCATAAAATCTGTGAAACGTAGTGATTATGATGCAGTTAAAGTGAAAATTTTGGAGAATGGCCACTATACTTGTACTTCAACAATTTTACTATCATAAGTGTCATTCAAGATGTAAAGCTCATTATTCATATTAATAGTACAACATAGATAGAGAAATGTTCATATCAATGAAAACAATTCATGTGATCCAGGAAGTAAAAAAAATCCTAATTATGATATATTGCAGTTTAAACAATCACTTTACATGAAGAGGTACAATATATGATGTAAAACTGTTTACTTCCTCCCTCCCTTCATCAACACCCACCCCACCAAAAAGGACGATAAGTCTGTCCATGGAAAAATTGATTAAGAAATTGTTAACACATATATCTCTCTTTTTGTAATTTTGTAAAATGCAAATGTCAAAATTAAAATGGCAATATTTAAACATGTAAACTATGCAAAACATTCAAAGTGAATAAACCTTGACTGATGGTAAAGTACCCAATAGTCTCCGTTGAAATGAGGCATGCAATTGCTTATAAAACTGCATACCAAATACCATTGACTTATTATAAGTGGTTCCCTTTAAACTAACATAAAAACATACTTTAACTTGTAAAATATTCAAAAGTTATAAAGTCGATGAACCATGACCAAGACCTTATAATCTGCATGGAAATGAGACATGCAAATACTTATACAACTGCATACCGTCTATCACTGACTTAATATTAGTGGTTTATCTTAAACGGATCTTATCCCAAACTTTAACTTGTAAACTTTGAAAACTAGGTAGTAAAAAGTCAATAGACCATGACTGAGGATAGGAGCCAAATAATCTTCATGGAAACGAGATGTGACAATGCTAATACATCTGCATACCAAATATGATTGACCTTCCACATATGGTTCCCCTTATACTGAACTTATCACAAACTTATACATATTAACTAAGGAAAATTTACAAAGTCAATAGACCATGACTGGAAGAGCGGGACCAGATAATCTCCATAGAAATTAGACAGGACAATGCTTATACAACTGCATTTCAAATACCATTGACATATCCCTAGTGGTTCCCCGTAAACTGGCCTAATACATGTAAACCAAGCAAGTCATTAAACCACGACAGAGGTGGGAGGGACCAAATAATCTCCATAGAAATGAGATGTACAAGTGCTAATACAACTGAAAACCAGCTTTGTCAAAGAGAGACAAAGACGACGAAAATGCAAAGAACAGTCTATAAAACACTATATATAGAAAACTACTAGAGACTGAACACCCTGCTCCACATGGGATTAATATATGATGTTTATTTTTTTTTCACGCGTGGGTTATTGTTGATTATTTTGGAAAAGAATGATATCATGTTAACGATAGATTTTTTTATAGTCTCTTTTAAACTTGTTTGATATGGTTTGATGATTAATATTGTTAGAGTCTGAAACGTTTATATGCAACCGTCTGTTAATGTAAACTGTATGTTGGTGACTTTTAGATATATTTAAATAATTTATACTTGGTTCCTGTCTGATAGACATATTATACCCAACATCTTTATTTGACAAATTTGTTAAACTGAATATTTATCTTAATAATTACCAATTTGGTGCGAATAAACTATATGCTTTAAGAAACTTTACCTGAATAACGCATTCGTTACTGAGGATAACACACAGCCGGTGAGTGATGACATTTAGTAAAAATGAAATTCTTACATTTACAATTTTTAAGGGTGCTAAATACGAAAAAAAAGATAGAAGAAAAATTGTTTTAATGGAAACTCATTTGAGGTGTTTTTCGTCTACTTGCGTGTTGGTTTTTGATTGCTGAAGAAAAACGTACAAACCAAAAATATTTCAGAAAATCTATAGAAAATCAAGTGTGAATTTTGAATTTTAGTATGTCCTAAATCATTTATTATTTGACTCGAAAAACAATCATTACTGATGTGTAATTTCCTGAATTAATTTATTCTGCAAGAATGATTTTGATACTAAATATTGGCGACAAACTGAAGATGATATTTATTAAGCGGTTTTTCTCTTATATGATTTATAAAAAATCATAATGTCAATATGTATGATAGCACAAAATACATAAAAAAGTAAAAGAATTACATAAATTATTTGACGTTATAATAGTTCTTATCAACATGCAATGAATGACAAATAAAAATGTAAAGCATGTCATTATGACGACAGAAGACGGACACAAATTACTGCTTTCAAAATTACTGAGTATTTTCCACTAACCAAAATTTTTACTTCTGTTTGATTTTGGTAATAAGTAAAATGCTATTTTCTTATTGTTATTCAATTAGATATAGTTGACGTAATACATAGTTATATATCATCTATAGCTTTTGTTCATCTTGACCAAATTTTAATCTCAAGCAGCCTATAATGAAACTAGTTGAAGTACATCTGACATAACTGTGACCATACCAATAAAAGATTATGCTTTGTTTCCAACAATCTTTGCGGACAGTGTGCCTATATATACAGCTGAATTTTGAAGTGTACAATTACAGTTTTTAAAAAGTAGTTGACATTTCCAGTTTGAGTGAGAATTTTTACCTATCTTCCAGTTATATATCAAATTGATGATGATTTGATATTTTATGAGGTTTAATGAAATATCTGTAGATTAAATTTGGAATACACATTTATATGCAATGTTATCAAATAATTGAGAGAGAAATAAAATCTTATTGGTTTATGCTGAGGAAATGAAAAACCATAAATTCTTTAAAAAACGCAAAATAATAACTTTTAAAATTTTAATCGACGAAAAATAACAATCACAAACGCTACACAGAAAACTAGAGATTGAGCAAGTAAATAAAAACGTACGAGCTCCGGAAGGTCACCAGATTTGTCCCTGTTGTTACTTTTGTTAAAATACGTTCATGCGATATACCCATTGAGTCCTTAATACTTTTCAACTTCGTACTTTATTCAGACGTTAAGGATTTTGTATTCGAGTGATGATTCTATTCTACAAGAAATCTTACGTGCAAAATTTTAAGCCTGGTATGTATGATGAGTTTGCCCAGTGATAAGGTATTTCACATCCTTATCGGATTCGTGAAAGGGTTTTTTTCTAAACCTAAGACATCATCAAAACATAACCCTTCAGGCATGTAAATTCTCCCACCCTTTGACTTGAAGAATTTGAAAAATTTAAATGCAAAGCACAATGGTTATCCAATACAGTTATTGATTGACACAACATAGACATCTAAAACTTGCAAAGTACAAAAGAAAAGGCGAAAGAACATACTTGCAAAAGGAACGTGTGTGTGCGTGTGTATTTGATAATCGTATCATTGTGTCAATCGTTTTGGGGTTATAGTATATCTGTCTCAATTATATTTGGAACATTATGTATTTTTGTTTGAGTAAATACAGATGTATTAATTTTAGACGTATGTTTTCAATTTAAAAAAATAATATTCTACACATCTTATCACTATAAGCTTACAAACATAACGTTTTATAGGAGTTTGATTATGCACAATTAGGGTTTTGACCAAAATTACGCGGTTCACTGAATATGGTAGTGGGTCATGGTGTCCATATCAGCCATATTCATGTAAATTATATTTTGATACATGTATATAGTTGTTTTATATTTTCATGAAAAAGCCTGAAATATAAAAGATAACGACTTTGGAACATTTTACTAATTAACAAGCTTGACTTCTACATACTTCCATTATAGCTATGATAAAAGGTTCTTTCTATAATTATTATACAACAGAATCGTAAAAACACGTAGTCACATATATTTTATAGGTAAACATACATGTTTCTCGTTTCTCTTTTTTTATATAGATTAGACCGTTGGTTTTCCTGTTTGAATGGTTTTACACTAGTGATTTTTGGGGCCCTTTATAGCTTGCTGTGCTGTGTGAGCCAAGGCTCCGTGTTGAAGACCGTACTTTGACCTATAATGGTTTACTTTTATAAATTGTGACTTGGATGGAGATTTGTCTCATTGGCACTCATACCACATCTTATATCTATGAAGTATTAAGTAGGAAAAATAAGCCTTTGTATGTGTGTTTATCAAAAAAACCTTTTATTACATAATCTTGTGACTAATCTAAAACTGTCTATCCTCTATACATATTGTCTTGATTAATTTGTTTGTAGATCAGAGACATGTCTACTTTTGTAACAACTGAAATGCATACCTGTGGACAGCCAATCAGAATAGTAGAAAAGGGGTTTCCCAAAATAGAAGGAGACACACTTCAAAAAAAGATGGACTACCTGATACAAGAACATGATCATCTGCGTAAGCTCTTGATGTGGGAACCTCGAGGACACTTTGATTTGATTGGTGTTATTTTGGTTCAACCAGATTACCCCGAGGCTGACATTGGTGCTATTTTTATGCATAATGAAGGATATGGTCCTATGTGTGGGGATGCTACTATATCGTTAGGAAGATATTTAGTAGATAAAGGCATCGTTAGAAATCCTAGCATACCTAAAACAGTTGTGAAAATCCAGTGTCCATGTGGTCTTATCGAGGCTCGTGTACAGAACGATGGAAAGAAAACAGGAGCTGTTAGCTTTTTAAGCGTTCCTTCATTTTTGTATGAAAAAGGTATGCAATTGTAAAAGATATTCGTTTATAATCTACTTCATCGCTTAAATCTCTTATTTGAAGGGAGATTCTGCGCTGCGGAAGTTGTTTAGATAAGTGAAGTTTAGAACAACATGAGGTCGTTCTTGCATGAAAAGTTTTGAAGAAACAGAAGCCGAATCCATTCTCAATTTTAAGGTCTACTTTTTCTGTGGTAGTTGTCAACATGATTGCAAATTCATCAGCTGTGAATGTATGCATTGTTTTATATCAGTAAAAAAAGTTCTTATTTCGAATGATAATGATATTTTGACTTCAAGTTTGAACATTACGGATTTCTTAGAGCATGGTATTATATTAACTAAATGATTTTTGCTATATTTGGATGGTTGCATTTTACCAATAACTAAACCATTGCCATACATTTTGAATTTACAATTTGTAACTAAAACCGCTGACATGAAATCTTGATTTAATTATACTGATCTAGTATAGTAAAAAGAGAATCGAAATCGGGCATCCAGAGGAAAATGCACCTACATTTATGTTAATAAATGTTTTGAACTCAGAAAACTATCATTATAGTACAGATATGTTTTTATGTAACCCATTGAGAATATTTGCCTGTTAATATGATATTATTACGTGAGTATTTCTGTATTGGCCTTGTTATTGGTCCGAGGCTTGCTGTATTGGCCTGAGGCGAAGCCGACGGCCAATACAGCTGGCCGAGGACCAATAACAAGGCCAATACAGAAATACACGTAATAGTATCTTTATTAATTAACTACAGTGTTACAATATTTTTTTTAATTTCATATCACAAGAGATAAACATTTTTACCTTGAAGTGGAACTATCCAAATCTCAGTTTCTTTTTATAAGATGCAATATCTAATGATCTGGTGCCGTTTCCAGGTGTCTTCAGCATTTTCTCATCTGATGAATTTTTCTACCCTTTCCAGTCACTATAAAGTGTTACAATTTAAATTTAGACACAACACATAAATAGTAATTGGAAAGGTACTGCCATTGCATGTGTTATGTAGAAACAAATTGAATATATTTAAAAAAAAATAATGTAGGAGTTGAAAATGATACAACTATCCATAAGCCAACTGACCAAAGAACGAAGATTTGCACAATTACAGGTCACCCTTCCAGAATGCATATGCCTGGTTCGGGTTTAAAAATAAATGACAGTTTACAAAACATGAGAAGCGAAAGTAAACAGTAAATCGATTTGTACCATCGTGAAATTATGAGGTCGATAAGAAATGAACTTTGTGATAATCTACTCGTTCCCCAAACCTGAAATAATTCCATCGTCTGCATTCAAAATACTTTTTAAATGAATGTGACCGTCTTTAGCCTGAAATATATGCCATACTGAACGTTTCATCATGTTTATGGTGAGTAAATGAAAACTGCGTCTTCCAAACAACTGTTTACTTTCAGTTTGTGTTTAACGTGACTTTCGATCAAAAAACTAGAGACGTTCCGAAATCCTGTATTGGCCGGATCAGAACTCGGCCAATACAGAAAAAAAATCTATATTGGCCGAGTTATTCTGTATTGGCCGAGTTGACACCTTTATATTGCATAGGCAGTTTTCATCATATTAAGTCCAATAACAGTGTAGTTAATTAATAATATTAAATATTTATAATTATTATGCTTTTTTACTAATATGTGTATGGCTCTGGTCTGGCTGTGGTCTAACATCTTAGAGTTGAGATGATTATATTCATATTAGATATGACTATTAACATTTGATTATTGTGTCAATTATCTAAATCATTGTAATAAATTACTTTGCTCTTCATGGGCCCTTTAATTGGAATCAAAATATCTTAACTTATCTTATCTTATCTGTATATGGGTGTAGTACAGATAAATAAGACATACAAACTAATTCTTTGAACAAAACGAGCTTTCTTGATAAATATACATGACAACATATACTACAGAGGGCACGAATCTTCTGCTTGCCAATGATGCATACGAAGCCCGTTATATATATTCTGTCAAATTTAGAGCACGTTATCGTTGCTATATATATGTTTATTTTATTTGACAGATGTGTCTGTTAATGTATCAGAATTTGGACAAATTGTTGTCGATATTGCCTATGGTGGCGGTTTCTATGCTATTGTTCCTGCCTCACAGTTCAATTTAGAACATAAATGTTCCTGCAGCAAGCTGAAAGAAGTTGCAGGAGCATTATTGGGTAATTCTATCGTCAAATTAGAGATTTTTGTTGCAAAACATATCATTTGATCTTAGTGATTGTCTGACGTTATGAAATGAAAATAACATTTTTTTATTTTACTCTCCGCATATTGACTCTTCAATTTACATGGCGTTGTCAGTTTATTTTCGACTTATGATTTTGAATGTCCCTTTGTTATCCCTCGCCTCTCTTTATATGACTGTTAAAGACAATAAATTGTAATACATTGAAATATATACATAGCAATGTTTTTCTATATCTTCAAACTAGATATGTCGGTGCGATATGAATACCCCTTACTTGCAACTTATCACAAAAAGACAGTCAACTGGCACGATGATAACTCGATCTGTTGATCACAATATTTATTTACCAAAAACAAATATCGCTTTCATCATGAATGAAAACTTCCTGACGAATAAAAATACCGTCCTGACAAGTATAATTTTTATGAAACTTTCTAAGTCTTATGACCTTTAACTCCGCTAAAAGATCAATCAAACGAATTAAAAATCAAACTTGATTTGTCAGTCAACATCATTCACAAATTACCAAAAATTCATCTAAATAATTTCCAGGCATTACAACATAAACTTCTGGACTGTACAATTCATGAACGTCAAAGGACTATAATTCTATCAGAATTCGGGCAATCAAAACGATAAACAAACACGTTCTGTAAGTTACATCATGCCTTAATTTATCTTATTTACCTGAAATCAGATTAAAATCTGCAGGCATGTGGAAAAAAGAATGGACATGGATTGATATGAAATTGCCCGTAGAACGGACATTGGTAACAGTTCATGCCTTGACCTTTTGGTCCGAAAACCTTTCTCAGTACTCGGAGAACAAAATTTGCGTTCAAGAAACCAAATCCAGTATTTTGATTGGTTGATTTCTGAGACTGAATACGATAATCGTATTCAAACTTTTTACGACCTTGAGTGGAGGAGTCACAAAAATCTTCAACAGTAAATTTGGTGTTTAATTACTTTCAGACGAACTTCGAACTAATTATAAAGTGGTACACCCAGAAAATAATGATGCATGCAATTCGTATATATATGGAATCATAGTCACTGATGGAAAGGATGGTCACAACGAAGAAGTAACGACCAACTTTACCTTATATGCAGATAAAGCGGTATATAACTCATTATTATAGCCGATTTCAATGAGTGTGTAGGCAAAGGTAATATCTTTGGTTAGCTGGCTTGCTAGCTGAACCTTGAAGTCATTATTAGGTTAGGTAAACTACCCTACTTTAAGAGTAGACTAGCCCGACAGATAACCAATCTATTTGTCTGTTGAACAAGTCTACTTCTAAAGGAGGGTAGTATACCTGACCTAATAATAACTTCACGGTTCAGCTAACAAGCAAGCTAACCAAAGATATTACCTTTGCCTACACACTCAATGAAATTGGCTGTAAATAATAATCGTGTTTTCTTTATTTCAGTTTTCATAAAGCCTTTTTTCTATATTGAATGTGTCATGTTATGCATACTCAGTGTAATCCTGGAATTTCAAACTGAATAATTCAAATTGAATAATTCAAATGTACTCATTATTGCATAATTCATTGCATGTAACTAAATGTAAAAAAGAAGAAGGAATGATAAGAGCCATTATTTGGTCTCTCAAATTGCAAATCTGGTAAACTTATTCAAGCCTTTCAAATTGATGTCATTCACCTGTCGATATCTACATATTTTATCTAAAATGGCAACTTTGCGCATAGTTTTTGGTCCGGATATACATGAGCATTAGCTTTACCCAAAAAGAATTTTACACATATTAACATCTTTGTAAATTAAATTTTGTAGCAATTTTTTTTTATGTAAAGCTGTTGCTCATATCTAAATATTATTGACAAGATCTCAAAATGAGGCTATTTCGGCAGTTTTTGCTGTTTCGCACAGAATGTAAGAAGTTTTTAGCCCTAATGCCAATATGTGAGGCAAAATTAAAAAAATTGAATACTGATGTCCGACAAACTTATGTCTAATGAACATCTGAATAATGGTATTTTGTATATTTATAATACTTTTTACATCGGATGAACGTGAGGGCATTCCGGTGTATTGCTGTCGCCTAGATTTCCATTACGTAACTTTCGAATTGGAATTGTAACCGATCTATAAACATGATAAATACGCGGACATTATCGAGTGCAAAATAACATTCCTTATCGCTTGTTATAAATTTATTTTTTCAATGGATACTCCTAAATATATTTTTTTAGAACATAAATTAATAATATGAAAATGTTTTGTCGTTATAAATATAAGTAAAAAATCTTTAATATCTATGCACACGTACATAAAATGTGTGTTAACGCATGCTGAAGAATATCTCAAGAACGTTTGCAATCTCCCATGCAGAGTTATCGGTCCTCGCTCTCTCTCAAGGACCGATAACTCTGCATGGGAGATTGAAAGTTTGGCGGGAAAATATGAATGCCTACTCAAATCCAATCTATTAGAAAAATCAAAGAAGAGTGTCCACCATGCACTTGCACTGCACTATTATTAATATAGTAGAATAGAATGATATACAAATGGATGAAAATTATATATACATGTAACTGTAATATACAAATATTTATATAATACATAACAACAAACCAGAGTATACTGATTTGTATCACTTCAATATCATATTTATTACGGTGAGGTTGAATTCCCTGTCATTTATTTATCATCCACGCACGAACTTGTCTAATAAATTGTTTTCATATCTGTACATTAAGCTCACTTTCAGGTATAGAGATGTGATTTTTTTTTCTGAGACAAGTGCTTGTTACCATCCACAAGAACTTGCAGTCATCCGATGTTCAGTACTTCAGTACTTTGATTGATTTTCGAATTCATAGGCCAAAAAGTGGCCTTATCATACATTTTCTTTCTTTAGAATAACTTTACACATAGGAGTGGCACTAGCGATTAGTAAAAGGTCTTTTTCTCCATTTGTGACATGATTTAGCATACAATCATAATGCTATGCAACACTTCCTTGATTCGCGCCAACTAAGTCCTACAGTAATGCGACACTAATTTACACTTTGGGTATGGATATATATATATATATATATATATATCTTTAAATTTCAAAATATTCTTCACTTTTTGAATATTAAAAACACCAATAGAAAGTTACAAATCGTGTTGCAAAATAAATACAACAGCTGTGTTCTATAGCATAGGTGAAGAGAAAATCAAATGATTTCGTTGATCCGTTGAAAACAAAATTCAGAGTACTTATCTGTCAATAAATATATTAAAGCTAACATATTCGTAATACACAATGTAACTTGATTTATGTAGGTGGGCCGAGCACCATGTGGGTCAGGATCTTCTGCTAGGATAGCTCAACAGTTTGGCAGGGGACTGATAAAGCTGGATCAAACAAGGATATTTAAAAGTAGAACAGGAGGCAGGTACAAAGCGACATCTGTAAAAGCAGTGAAGTGTGGAGACTTTGACGCTGTCGTGGTAGAGGTGTCAGGCAATGGATACTACACCGGAACTTCTTCATTTTCACTAGAGGAAAACGATGAAATTGGAAAAGGATTTTTGATGTCATAAAAAATTTATCCTAGACAATGAATGTTTCTTTGCAAGTGAATGAGGCTTTTTGAGTGTTTTCTGTATCCTACTATATTTGCTTTGTTATCATCATGCTATTTGCATTTTAAATTCGTCGTTATTTATCTTGACTTCTGTCCGTTGGTGTCATTCGGCATGTGGCTATATGGGAGATCGGTTCGATGATAACCCCGCAAAATCCTTACGTGCCTGAGTCTGTAGTTATGAGATGGTCGTGTGTTGCTGTTTGTCATCATTGTTTTTCTTTTAATGTTGTCAGCTTTCATCAGGTCGTGGTCATTCTTTTTAGTTCTTTCACATTTTGTTATCTTGCAACCTTTTACAGCTCACGGTGACACGTAGTTTTTAACATCTCTTTTCTTTAGCCCATTTAAAAAAGAAGATGTGGTATGAGTGCCAATGAGACAACTCTCCATCTATGTCACAATGTATAAAAAGTTAACTAATATAGGTCAAAATACGACCTTCAACACAGAGCCTTGGCTCACACCGAACAGCAAGCTATAAAGGGCCCCAAAATGACTAATGTAAAACAATTCAAACAGGAAAACCAACGGTCTAATTTGCTTATTTTTATACGGTACAATTTTCATTTCAATCTACAATCTATTTGTATCTAATGTGAGCATTTAGATTCTTTTAGCGTAATTAAAAAGACGTCAGAATTCGATTATGTGGTGATGCATGTCTCTCCTATAAAAAGCGTTCAAAGTATGAGAGTTTCATATGTTTTATATATATACATTTGAATTAAATGCGCAAGAACTATCAAAAATTTAGAATAAATATGAATAATTTTACCTCTTATAAACCTCATTTGCATTTTTCAGTATTTTTTTTAAACAAAAACGTAAATTTCGCGTTTATGTGCTTGTCAGTAAAATAGAGTTTCCTAAAATAAATGGTTTAAATTTAACAAAACAGTAATAAATTAATCATTATTTTAGTAGTGTTTCATTTTATTTTCAATTTACTTGTGTATAATTTCAACAGCCTAGAACCAAATAAACTTTGTATCTGCCATCCGAACATATCTAACGACTTTGGAACTTATTGATAAATGTTTGCTATTGTTTCTGTTAAGAAACTATAATATATGAATATGTTAAGTAATTGGACATATACTAAAACGTGTCTATAGTTTAAAATTATTTCACTGATCTTAAAAAATACAAGAACATCCTCTTTTTAAATATACAGATTGGTCACTTTTATTTTAATCGAAATCTAAATATCTAAATGTCCTGTCACGTTTATGAAAACAAATTAAGGGAATCCTTTGTAAGGTTGATACAGCATCTAGGCAGTTTCCACACATTCTTTGAACTTTTCTGAACTTTTGTTTTAGCTTCTTGAAATCTAAGTTTGATATTCATTTGTTATTCAATTTGATTGTTAATATTTAAAATTTGAATTTTCAGAAATTCACTTATAAACGTCATAAACGGAGAAGCAAGTATTAATTTCAAAGAATTTGATCAGACTCGGACGGAGATTGAACCCATAATCACATTAAATCAAGACGAACTAGATACCATTACTAAAGTATATCACCAAAAAGGTTGAAATATAATTTATTTATTCAACATTTCGTGCACAATGTTTTTTCATTTTCATATAACACTTGCTATTTAAATTAACATTATGCAATGGATTGTGCCTTTAAAAATAATGGTTATTTTTTAGAATAATAAAAGTATAACACTGTCGTTCATTTATTGAACGTAGTAAGCTGGTTGTAATGAATAAACTCATCATAGATACCAGGATCAAAATTCTGTACGCCAGACGCGCATTTCGTTTACAAAAGACTTATCAATGACGCTCGAATAAAAAAAGTTAAAAAGGCAAAATAAAGTACGAAGTTAAAGAGCATTGAGGACCAAAAATTCCGAAAGGTTTTGTCAAATAAAGCTAAGGTTATCTATTCCGGGGGTAGAAAATCCTTAGTATTTTGGAAAAGTATTTGAGAATATATTTGAACTGAAGAGCCGATAATGAAACGGTATACAATTTTAGAACTGTATGTTATGAAGCAAATAATACCATACCATACGGTACTAATTTTGCTACTCCAGGTGTGCATTTCGACAAGTATTGTCTCTTTGGTAATACCCGAGGAGTAAATATCTGAAATTTAAGAATACAAACTGGATATGTATCATAGCAGCCAATATTGTTACTTTTAGGCAAACACAGCATAAAATGTCAAACATACATTTGCAAGTTGTTTGCTGCTGAAAATTACTGTGTCAAATGCATTATGTTAACTACTTGAAAACAGTCATGCTTCTTCTGTTGTACATGTGAAAGACATACACCATTACACAATCAGTCAATCTTCTTTTAATGAACATTAAAATGAATAAAACGTTTAAACCCGCTGCATTTGTATGCACCTGTCCTAAGTCAGGAGCCTGTTGTTCAGTGGTTATCGTTTGATGATGTGGTTCATAAGTGTTTCGCGTTTCTCGTTTTATATATAGATTAGACCGTTGGTTTTCCTGTTTGAATTGTTTTACACTAGTCATTTTGGGGTCCTTTATAGCTTGCTGTTCGGTGTGAGTTAAGGCTCTGTGTTGAAGGCCGTACTTTGACCTATAATTGTTTACTTTTTACACATTGTAACTTGGATTGAAAGTTGTCTCATTGGCACTCATACCACATCTTCTTATTTCTATAAAATGTTCATATTAATAGAAATAATTTAACATGAATACTTGCCTAATTTTATGTAGTCTTATGTAGACGAAACGCACGTATTGGGTACCAATTTATAACCACTGAGAAGATACTAGTACCATTGCTGGTGACCGTTCTGTCAACACAATATTGTGTCAGGATCCCAGACTACTGCATGGGCCACTTTTTGTAATTTGTCAGAGGATCTAAGAAAATCTAGATAGATAAAATCAATCACTCTGCAAATTTTATCAGTTTGCATTTGGCTTTGAAGTCCTAACTTAGTGGAGATATGTTGACGTTTCAACGGAATACTATTCAGTTCCTCTGGTTGTCAAGCGTACTCTCTAGTCGTCTACATTATAAGTTAGTTTGATATGATTAGATTGTCCCCGATAACTGCCATACAAGTGAGAGGTTTAGCTAGCTATAAAACCAGGTTTAATCCACCATTTTCTACATAAGGAAATGCCTATACCAAGTCAGGAATATGAAAGTTGTTTTCCATTCGTTTGAACTGAAATTTATCCACGAGCAAAACTGTCTGGTTTAATGTTTGAATTGATAGAACAACGAGAAATTATCTGTTAAAGTAACAGCAAACCGGATTTTCTGTTTAGGCTTTCGGGCTTTTTTGACCTTCCACCTTCTATGCCTATTTTCAAATCTATTTAGGACCAAAACTCCTGAAAAGCATATGTGAAATCGTCAATATCAAACTTGACCTCAGTTTTGTCATCAGTAACCATATATTAAAATTTGAAAAGCATTGATTGAATCGGTTCTTCGTAATTGCACGGGACGCATAAAGTGCAATTTTCCAAATTATCAAGGAACATAACTTCTCAATTGTAAATGTATTCACCGTCAATATAGAACTTGACCTCCATTTTGTCATCAGTAACAAAATTTCCAATTTGAAAAGCATCGGTTGAGCAGTTCATTAGTAATTACATGGAAACAACGTAAAATGCCATTTTCTAATCTATTAAGGACCATCACTCCTGAACAGCATATGTGAAATCGTCAATATCAATTTTGACTTCAATGTTATCATCAGTAACAACATGTTAAATTTTGAAAAGCATTGATTGAACGGTTCATAAGAAATTGCACGGAATGCATAAAGTGCCATTTTCCAGTCTATCAAGGATCATAACTTCTGAAAGGTAAAAATGAAAACCGTCCATACTGAACTTGACACCATTCTGTCATCAGTTAAAAAATGTTGAAATTTGAAAAGCATCCGTTGAAAATTGCATTCGTAATTGCACAAAGACGACGTTAAATGCCATTTTCAAATATATTAAGGACCATAACTCCTGAACGGTAGAAGCGAAATATCAATATCAATCTTGACCTCCCTTTTGTCAAGTGTAACAATATATGAAAATTTGATAAGCGATAGTTGAACAGTTCACGAGTTATTGCGCAGAAACTGTTAGCATGAGCCTGCTCAACCGCTGTACTTCAACATTTCAATAACCGGATTTTTCATCGGAAAGCTCGGTTAGGATGAACTTGATGAAATGTTCTGCTTTCTTCATTGATTTTAATGAGTAATATGTTGAAAGTTTTTGTTGTAAGATCTTCCTATCTTTACTTAATAGATCAATAAAAATTGGATAATGGTTAGATGGACCCTATCAGCTGGACAAATTCACCTTTCCTTTCTAAAGACAAAATACAATTGAATTATAAATCATATCAAATGACAGTTGGGCCCTACCTTAAAAGGATTAGGTAGATCGATAATAATACACAAAAAAATGATGTTAAGATCAAGCGAATCTTACATGTACATTTCTATCACAGAATCGATTTTCCAAACTTCCAACAAATTTCATTTTCAACTTTGCTGTGTGCTCTTGTTTGAAATTCGTAGTTTATTCTTTGTACCAATCTTTTTTCATTAGGTATGTTGTTGGTTTCTAGACAAATATATTACTGACGTTAAGTCTTCTCCCCAGGATTTTTAGATAGCACCAGGGTAATCAAGCCTGAGAATCAAGGCGACAAATTGGATATATGTATCGAACATAATTTACTGAACAGGATAACAAACTAAACTGAGTATGTTACCCTTAGGACACAGACGGATATATATTAAATCGATCTACTAGATGGAAAAGCGACACAAAACCAAAGCACTTGTGAACACTGAGGGATTAAAGTTTGCTTTCATTTTTCACTGCAAACTTGAAATTTTTGCATTGTATGAAGCAAAATAATGTATCATGTAATCTATATTTGAATTGAGTTATCTTCCTTTGTCATAACTGTACGTATAACAGATAGACTCATACGTATTGAACCACTTTCTGCAACTTTTATAATTTCTTAATAAAAAGTAATATAACAAAAATACAAAATTCCAAGGATAATTCAAATCAGAAAGTCCTTTTATCAAATAACAAAATCAAAAGCTCAAACACATCAAACAAATGGAAAACAACTGTCATATTCCTGACTTGGTACAGGCATTTCCTTATGTAGAAAATGGTGGATTAAACCTGGTTTTATAGCTAGCTCAACCTCTCACTTGTATGACAGTCGCATAAAACAGCTTCTATACATGTTGAAGTATGGCAATTTCCATACATTATTTGGTGTAATGAATATCGGACTATACCTTGTTAATAAATTGCTCGAACCGGCATGGGAAGGATTAAAAGAGTGTTGACCTCACAGCACTATATTTCAAGCACTAACAAACAGGAGTAGATAAGATGACTATATATAGAAGACGAAACATGCGTCTGGCTTACACATTTTGTATCCTTGTATCTCTGAGTTTATTTATCGCTGACTATAGGAATTTGAAAAAAAAAAGGTTTTCATTTCATTCCAAATGAAGTTAAATACAGAAAAGTGCTTTGGAGGCACCAGAGACATATAATACAAGAGATTCGCAACTCGGCGAAATCCCGTAAAAACACGCGGCCACTAGTTAAACCTCGCGAGATCTCCTTAGGTAATAAAGTCATGAATACAAGTATTAAAAGTACTCGAAGTAAGGACGAATGTTTAAGCATAACATAAACTGTTTCAGTGTTAAATTTATCATAATTAATTAAATAATTTGAGTTCATATATAATTATTTATTTTAATGTAAATTCTGAATTTAATTATGTAATTTTGATTTTAGATTTGTATTATTGAAAAAGAGTCATAATTTGACATTGTATTAAAAAACTAGAGGCTCTAAAGAGCCAGTGTCGCTCACCTTGGTCTATGTGCATATTAAACAAAGGACACAGATGGATTCATGACAAAATTGTGTTTTGGTGATGGTGATGTGTTTGTAGATCTAACTTTACTGAACATTCTTGCTCCTTACTACTATCTCTATCTATAATGAACTTGGCCCGGTAATTACGGTGGAAAATACTTTGTAAAAATTTACAAAAATTTACAAAATTTATGAAAATTGTAAAAAATTGACTATAAAGGGCAATAACTCCTTAAGGGGTCAATTGACAATTTTGGTCGTGTTGCCTTATTTGTAGATCTAACTTTGCTGTACATTATTGCTGTTTACAGTTTATCTCTATCTATAATAATATTCAAGATAATAACCAAAAGCTGCAAAATTTTCTTAAAATTACCAATTCAGGGGCAGCAACCCAACAACGTGTTGCCTGATTGGTCTGAAAATTTCAGGGCAAATAGATCTTGACATAATGAACAATTTTATCCTCATCAGATTTGCTCTAAATGCTTTGGTTTCAGAGATATGAGCCAAAAACTGCATTTTACCCTATGTACTATTTTTTAGCCATGTCGGCCATCTTGGTTCGCGAGCGGGGTCATCGGACACATTTTTTAAACTAGATACCCTAATGATGATTGTGGACAAGTTTGGTTAAATTTGTCTTAGTAGTTTCAGAGGAGAAGATTTTTGTAAAAAATTACAAAAATTTACGAAAAATGGTTAAAAATTGACTATAAAGGGCAATAACTCCTTAAGGGGTCAACTGACCATTTTGGTCATGTTGACTTATTTGTAGATGTTACTTTGCTGAACATTATTGCTGTTTACAGTTTATCTCTATCTATAATAATATTCAAGATAATAACCAAAAACGGCAAAATTTCCTTAAAATTACCAATTCAGGGGCAGCAACCCAACAACGGGTTGCCTGATTGGTCTGAAAATTTCAGGGCAGATAGATCTTGACATAATGAACAATTTTATCCTCATCAGATTTGCTCTAAATGCTTTGGTTTCAGAGATATGAGCCAAAAACTGCATTTTACCCTATGTACTATTTTTTAGCCATGTCGGCCATCTTGGTTCGCGGGCGGGGTCATCGGACACATTTTTTAAACTAGATACTCTAATGATGATTGTGGACAAGTTTAGTTAAATTTGTCTTAGTAGTTTCAGAGGAGAAGATTTTTGTAAAAGATTACAAAAATTTACGAAAAATGGTTAAAAATTGACTATAAAGGGCAATAACTCCTTAAGGGGTCAACTGACCATTTTGGTCATGTTGACTTATTTGTAGATCTTACTTTGCTGAACATTATTGCTGTTTACAGTTTATCTCTATCTATAATAATATTCAAGATAATAACCAAAAACGGCAAAATTTCCTTAAAATTACCAATTCAGGGGCAGCAACCCAACAACGGGTTGTCCGATTCATCTGAAAATTTCAGGGCAGATAGATCTTGACCTGATAAACAATTTTACCCCATGTCAGATTTGCTCTAAATGCTTTGGTTTCAGAGATATATGCCAAAATCTACATTTTACCCCTATGTTCTATTTTTAGCCATGGCAGCCATCTTGGTTGGTTGGCCGGGTCACCGGACACATTTTTTAAACTAGATACCCCAATGATGATTGTGGCCAAGTTTGGTCAAATTTGGCCCAGTAGTTTCAGAGGAGAAGATTTTTGTAAAAGTTTACGGACGACGGACGACGGACGCAAAGTGATGAGAAAAGCTCACTTGACCTTTCAGGTCAGGTGAGCTAAAAACTGATAGTAAATAATCAACACTTGAAGTAAATAATTAACACTTGATAAATTGTATCAGAGTCCATTTTATTCGATAGTTTCATAATGGGTTTCTATTGAATATACACCTGTCTCGGAGACATAATTTCACAGTGTGACATGTATATTAGGTTTGAATTATTCGATACCCAGGTAAATCACGAACATGTTATAAATAATGAGTTTTAATTGACACCTTGTAAACAAGAAGTTGTAACACCACAGGTGTCCACACACGATTTCCAAAAATACAATTCACAAAATGTAAAATTAATTAATGTGGGAAAAAACTTAATTTATCTGTTAATTAATTGTTAATCATGAAAGGCTTTGTTTTTTATTTTTGATATCTATAGATTATTAAAATTTTATTTATTTTTATATTCATCATTAATTGGGCTTGCATTGAGTTTTTACAGTGGGATTGTCGGTAAATGTTTGATTTCTAAGTGTTGTTTGACAGTTTCATCATAGGCTTGCATTGAGTTGTTTTTTAATTGATAATCGGTAAACTTATGGTTTCTTCATGTTCGAAGTGTGTATTGAGAATTAATATTTAAGAAAATTACAATTAATTTCTCATTTGAATAAAGCTTCATTCATGTGCACGCAATATGGAAAATTCCGATTTTATTTCGTGGGATGACAATCTTAATAGTTACGACTTAGATATTCTCCTATATTGCCCCATACAATTGAATATTTATTCGCACATTTCCAAGTTTTATGAGATAAAATGATAGTACCAGCACAGCTGGCTTCGGGTATCAATAAGAAAAAATCGCCACATTTGTTGATAATTTTGAAAAAAAAACACTATTGGATTAAATTTTACGAAAATAGTCTTATTTTCACGAAACAACAAAATTATATATTTATTAGCATATTTCCAAGTTTTAAGAAAAAAAATTGGGAGATCAAATGGTTTCTACAGCAATAGGAGGTGAAGTAAAATGGGCCGAGTTTTAACTTTGTTTGTATTTGATTAATCTCATCATTAGAACACATTTTATCAATAACAAATTATTAGAATTAGTTTTTTGTAACTTTTAAATATACTTGCATGCTTTAGCTGTGAAAGGTATCGGCATTATCCATTAGGAAAAATCGTGAGGCGTAGAACCTTTTTCACAACAATAGCGATTTTTACCCATAAATCCATTGGAATAATCGGCTTTCCGATGGCCACGTCATTTCATTGGCTGTTATATAGACTCTACTAGAGTTGCGAATCTCTTGTATTATATGTCTCTGGAGGCACCAAATTTATAGTTATATTTATTTTCTAGCACTGGGTATATACTGGTGCTGGTGGACTGTTAAGTCTCGGGGTTATCATCAGCTCGGTATTCAAATCCTTCTGTACTGACTTGACAAATAACATACCTGTCTTAAATTCTGAATTGATGAATTAAGAAATTATTAAGAATCTAAGGTTCTAACTCCCTCAAGCAAAGTTGACAAAGTGAATTTGGCTTTTCTTATTCATGTACCTCCTGGTCATATAGCTTATCATGTTTTGGAGTAGTCATACATCCTTTGCTTCCAAATTTTTGGATTCAAGCATTATTGATGAATGTAAACCCAGAAAAATGCTTCAGACGCACCAAAATTATAAAGTGTTATTTTCATTTGGTATCATAGATGACTTGCCATCAGTGAAATTTGTCATAGGCCAGAGAAAAATGATAATACCAACGGACCTTAATTTGTCTTTTCTTAATCAATTTACTAGATTTGAACATCAGTTAACTTCTGTCGCCTTAATTCACCGTAATGTTTACAAAAAATCTTATGAGGATCATAGTTTTGAGAAGAAATGGGTTTAGAAACATGTTAATTCTTCACTGTGTATTCAAGAATAAATATACAATGCAACTATAACACAAGATTTTATTACATAAATATTTGCATTGATAACCTGGTGTCTTATAATCACCAAAAAAGCTTGAAAAATATGACGCTTTTCAAAAGAGCCCTTATATCAACTAGCTTTAAATAAATAAAGAACACACCAGACACTAAATTCATGTATACAAAGAAATTATTGTTTGGAAACTAAACATTTTATAGTCATCCTAGCTTCAAACACAGATCAATAAAAGTGTGACTTAAGAGATGTGGCATCAAATCTGACAAAGTATATGCAATACTTAACTTTTTATATAAAAATAAAAATTATTGCATATTTCTTGTCAATTTAAAGGAGTAGGCCCGGTAAGACCCTTTTTTGGCCCCAAAATATAGCATTTTTACCAATATGTAAAAATATTAACTTTTAGCTATTTATTGGAAAGTAGAATACTTCTTTTCCATGAATATGGGCTGTTTTTGAAAATATAATGCACATGCAGCAGGTAATAGCATCATAAATTCATGCAAAATTACTGAAATCTTGGCATATTTGATAGATTTTGCATATTTAAGCGTGAATTTGAGCTTCTCTAATGACCAAATCAGTTCAAATATTTTACATCAACTAATTGAATCGACTGAAGTAGACCCTTAAGTGTTTAAAAAATGTCAAACAGCTTGCATTAGATATACTTCGAATATTAGGCCAAAACTAGCCCTTACCGGAACTTCTCTTTTAGATTAATGTTCAACTCCCCTAACTGAATCTGCCATGTCATTTGACTATAAATAGTTTCCAGAACTTAAACCATATTTAAAGGAGTAGACCTGGGATAAGGGAAATCGGGATGTCTTCCAATTTAGCATGCCCTTTCTCTTAACTTTACTTTAACTGTATCTTTTCAATGAATTGCATGTCTCAAATATCATTTAGTCTCAATCTGTTATTTCAATTTTTCACAAGAGGTTCTGGATGGGGTTTACAGTATAGAAAAAATTGGGCAAAAAAATAAAAAAATTGAGAAAAATGGTCTAAAATGTCTTTTTTTTAAAATGAAGACCTCACTTATCCATACTATCTTATATGAATGTTATTGATTTAGTGTTTGGTCCCATTATATAAAACTATAGAAATTGCCGTTCAATTTGCAAAGATTTCTTTATGAATTGACTAACTGATCTTTTCTTTCATTGTACTACATCTATTGTCTTTCATTGTACTACATCTATTGTATGTTCTACATTAAGTAATAATTACTTAACTTCAATTGACATTACTGATTATCTACTCTTGTCAAGAGTTTCCCTTCCTCATCTTTTTTTGTCTCTCTTAAGGTTTTATTTGCACTTTTGGTGCTGAATCTTGACAACATTGAAGGCTCCTCATATACTCAAGGTTAAATAATTGAGCCAAATTAAAAAGAAAATTATCTATCTTTTTTGCTTAGTAGGAAACTCTCACATTTTATTTGGCCTTAAAATCTTCCCAGTACAAATCTACATAACTCTTTTTATTATAAAGACCTGTTCCTTTGAACAGCATAGTACACATTCTTTTGTCAACATTAAGAACAATATTTAAAGAAACCAGTGTATTGTGTGTAATAGCAACTATGCACAAAAACATTCATTTTTATTTACTTCAAAAGCAGACAAAGACAAAATACATTAAAAAACAAACATTTTTAAGACAAAAGCTTCACTTTGCTTTTTTTTCAACTTAAAAAGAAAACAAATTGAAAGTAATAAGGATTTCGTATTTGCTCAAATGATAAAATATATATAATGATTTAATAACAAAAATTCAACAAATAATCATAACCAAGAAATTGTGCAAAACCAACCAAATAAAATGATAAAAAAATCTGCATACAATTACAATAAAAAAAAATACCTTGCCACAAAAGTGCAACATCTAAATAAAACTGATGATTTAATACATAATAATAATGATTCGAAATCACAAAAAAATGCATGATCTTATACACAGAATAATGATTTGAAAACAAAATAACACTAAAAATAGGATAATTGCACCTCATTGCAGAATGACTAAAAGAGGATAAACTTTGAAATTAAAAATGTACAGGATAAACGCATATCTGTTTCAAAATATCAAGCTTATTAAAAAACTGTTATAAATTGATAGTATATAAGCAACAGAACTAAAAAAGCAGATAAAAAATGAAAGGTCCACGTCCTTCTTTTCAAGTCAAAATCAGTTCAAAATTTGGCTGGAAATGATTCACTCTATATCATTCATACATTTAACATTGGAACCTTTTTTTTCAATCAAAAGCCATAAAAAAATAACAGAAGTTCTCCTGATAACATTGTTCCTATAGGTATCATCAACAAATGCCCAATAATATCCAAGTAAGAAAAATCACCTGCTGCTATCCCTCAGAGATTCTAAAGTCTTTTCATTCCTTCTCCTGTGAACTTAATATTTTCTCAAGAATATATAAATTTAAATTATTTTGCTTCAAATATATTAGTTCTCACACTCATTTATCAGTAAGAAACATTTGTATCTAAAATTTGTTTATCTTTTTTATCCAATGCTAACTGTTATTGTTGTGCAACATCCAAGAATCGAGATCATTTTGTTCAAATAATATTTTTTGGAATTGAAAAATGATACATGAAATAAGTCTAAATTTGTATGCCTAATAATTCTTTAAAAAATGAGTTTAAAAATGAAAAACAACATGATATTTACATAAAGAGGAAATCATACTCTATAAACAATATTCTAATAACCCAAGACCATGAGAATAATGTAGTAATTATAAAATTACAATAAATATAATATCATTGCCATTGGTAACTTGATATAAACATAACTCATATATTTAATAAAAACAAATTAAGAAATATAAGAAAATGTACTTAAAATCCATGCTAACCAACTTTGATAATATTTGCAAGAACTACTTTTCCTACTTTCACTTTCATTTCCCTTACTTTCACATCCATAATTATTTTTGTACATCATTTATCATTCAATCAAAGTTAAACAAAAATAAATATTCTTTTAAGTTAGAAAAATATATTGACACAATCTACAACACATTTTGATTTCCTGTTGGAAAGGTTGAACAAAAAGAAAAACAAAGGTTTCAAATGCTTGTTTATATGGCTTAAAATATATATAATAAAATGGCATAAAATACTTCTAGAACTATGAATATATGCTCTATAGATTTTGTAAAAAAGCCAAGATAGCAAAAATAAATATTTTCTAAACACTTGATTGAAACAACATCTATATAACTGTTTTTAAAATTATCAACTATAGTTTTGAACTTTCCACAAATATTGAATAAAAACATAAAAACACCATTTCATAAAATTCTACAAAATGAATAAGTTATTCGATAAGTACTTTTTACTAATTTTCTCATTGTAATTATACTTTTCAAGTTCAAGCAATTCTTAATGAACTCTCAATTCTTCTAAATTTTGATGCATTAAAATTACAAGCCATTTTCTTTCAGCATTACACATTTTCTGGTCACATTGTATATATCATACATAACAAAAAGTTCTGGTCACATTGTATAAATTACATATCACAAAAAGGGAACAGCCCAGACTATTAACGTTTCCAGTACCACCCTTTATTTCAACATTCACACTTGAATTTTTTGTGCCCACTTGATTTCTAGCTTCATTTTTTAGGTTAGAATGTTGAATAGCTCATTAGACATTTTTGGCTTCTAGAGACATTTTTATAAAAAAAATGAAAAATTTACAGGACCCGAATATTGTATCTAGTAAAAGATATTAAAACTAGTAAAAACAATTCATTCCTTCAAACTGAAGTCAATTAACATCCATCATTTCATCTTTCTTCTGTCCCTCTATAAATTAATTCTCATCCCTATGAATAAACAGATGGCATAAAGGATTTTTCTCCAATGGACAGCAAGATTTCACTCTGACTGATGCAATCCTAACAGTGAAGAATGAATTTTCAACTGTGAGTGTGACATGCAACATTTTCAACTGTGACATGAAACCATTTTCCACTATGACATGAAACCTTAATCCACAGTGAAATGAATCATTATTAACTGTTTCACGAAACATTTTTTTACTGTGAAAAGTTCCTCCCACAACAAGAGGAAGTTTGAATTAGTACAAAAGTCCACAGATCATCTCAGCCAAAAAATGTAGCAAAATCCATCATTACATTAGACATATGAACATTACATATGAACAACAAAATAGGAAGTCTGTATTATGCAGATTAGTCTCTGTTAATATCAGTATGAACTAGTCTCTGTCAACTTCTACGAACAAATCTCTCTCATCTCGTTCATGGCTTCATTTATTGCATCAGACATCTTGGCTGCTGATGTGGTTGGACAGTTTACGTTACATGATACATGGAATTTAACTGAAAAACAAATTAGTAAAAAAATGATGTAATAATGTTAAATACATCTACCATAACATAACTAATGTGTACTAGCAAGTACTGTAAATTCAGAAATGTTCGTGTGCATTTATTATTAGGATTGTTGATCAATAAACAATAATGTGAAATCATTATATTGATTACAGGAAATGTGGCATATGAACAATGTCATAAAAAAAAATTCAAATTCAAAATTAGAGCTTTTATTTTTGCAAAAACCTATCATGTCGTAATATTTGCAACAACATAAAAAAAAACATTGCAACAAAAATTTTGAATTTTCAGAAATTTTTATTTGTTTGATTTTCAATTGTAATATAACTGATTATGATAGTATCACATACTAAAATATCAAATCTAACACCATTTACATGATTATTTTTCTCCATCTACCTATTAATATGAGTTTGATTGTTTGATAGAGTTCACACCAAAAACCATCCAAATTTCAATCAAATTATTTTCTTGAAAATTGTCATAGTTTTAGTATCTTTTTATAATAAATCAAGAACGTGTCCATGGGACACAGATGATGCCCTGCCTTGCATATAATGTTATAAAGGGACATAACTTCAGAACGGTAAATGTGACGAGACCCAAATTCGAACTTGATCTGAGTTTTGTGGTAATAAGCATTGTGTATAAATTTCATAACATTTGTAGAGGCAAACTAAAATTACAGAACAGAAACCAATTTTGGGATGTACTGATGGACAGACATACGTACAGACCATCAAGAATAAACCTCAATGACCCCTCCATAGGGAGGGGGCGTAAAAATTCTTGTTGTTGAAAGTAATAACAGTTCCAGAGAAAACAGCTATTAAGGTAATTTTTCAAAAGATTTACTTAAGAGTATCACCTCAGCCATGCAGATTCTATGTAAAATTTAATAATGGTATTGTTGTTATCACGGAATCCAAATGGTTTTCTGTGTATTGGTTTATATTAACTGTATTTATCATATCGTAATACACATCTACTTACTGAGATCTTCTCCATATATCATATAGGATACGCCATAGCCTTCAAAAGATGTCGCAAAGAATCCACCTCCCATGCATGATGTTTCCATTGTCCATTTATTTGTGTAATTGGTTGGGGTCTGAGATGTACTCAAGATATCAGGGGCAAAGAAATTCTGAAAAATAATATTTTATGAAATGCTTCATTACAATTAAATAATAAGTAGATTCTACGTGGAAGCTTTATTAATGTATATTCAATATTTAAAATTTGGTTTCTTTCAAGTTTCCAGTATATTAGATCATTCTGCAAGTAAGCCTATTTAGTAAATTTGGGTTTTGTTGAACAATTAAATTCGTGGTTCACCTATATCCATGAAAATATGTACCCATCCAATTATTATGAATCCAAAATATTATTAAGTGCAAAATAATATAATTAATATAAACTAGACGCTCTCAAGAGCCTGTGTCGCTCACCTGACTCTACTTTGGTTTTAGAAATCATGTAAAGATAGATAAAAATCATAACAGATACCCAAATAATGATTGAGGCCAAATTTTGATTAATATTGGTCCCGTTATTTAATCAAATATCCTGGTGGCCATCTTGAACAGTAAATCGGCAACAAAGTAGCAACACTTGGTCAGCACTTCATAAGGAACATTCATGCCATGTTTGGTTTCATTCCATTCAGTGGTACTCTAAAAGAAGACATTTGTATGTATTTCCCATAGGGTCCTATGTTAAACTAAGCCCCCCCCCCCCCCCCCCCCTAGCGGCCATCTTGGATGATGGATCGACTGCAAAGTAACAACACTTGGTCAACAACTCATAAGGAACATTCATGCCATGTTTGGTTCAATTCCATTCAGTGGTTCTCTAAAAGAAGACAATTGTATGTATTTCCCATAGGGTCCTATGTTAAACTAAGTCCCCCGCTGTCCGCCATCTTGGATGATGGATCGGCTGCAAAGTAACAACACTTGGTCAACATCTCATAAGGAACATTCATGCCATGTTTGGTTCCATTCCATTTATTGGTTCTCTAAAAGAAGACATTTGTATGTATTTCCCATAGGGTCCTATGTTAAACTAAGTCCCCCGCTGGCGGCCATCTCGGATGATGGATCGGCTACAAAGTAACAACACTTGGTCAGAACCTCATAAGGAACATTTATGCCATGTTTGGTTTCATTCCATTCAGTGGTTCTCTAAAAGAAGACATTTGTATGTATTTCCCATAGGGTCCTATGTTAAACTAAGTCCCCCGCTGGCGGCCATCTTGGATGATGGACCAACTGCAAAGTTACAACACTTGGTCAGCATCTCATAAGGAACATTCATGCCATGTTTGGTTCCATTCCATTCAGTGGTTCTCTAAAAGAAGACATTTTTATGTATTTCCCATAGGGTCCTATGTTAAACTAAGTCCCCCGCTGGCGGCCATCTTGGATGATGGATTGGCTACAAAGTAACAACACTTGGTCAGCACCTCATAAGGAACATTCATGCCATGTTTGGTTCAATTCCATTTAGTGGTTCTCTAGAAGAAGACATTTGTATGCATTTCCCATAGGGTCCTACGTTAAACTAAGTTCCCCGATGGCGGCCATCTTGGATGATGGATCGGCTACAAAGTAACAACACTTGGTCAGCACCTCATAAGGAACATTCATGCCATGTTTGGTTTTATTCCATTCAGTGGTTCTCTAAAAGAAGTCATTTGTATGCATTTCCCATAGGGTCCTATATTAAACTAAGTCCCCCGCTGGCGGCCATCTTGGATGATGGATCAGCTACAAAGTAACAACACTTGGTCAGCACCTCATAAGGAACATTCATGCCATGTTTGGTTTCATTCCATTCAGTGGTTCTCTAGAAGAAGACATTTGTATGCATTTCCCATAGGGTCCTATGTTAAACTAAGTTCCCCGATAGCGGCCATCTTGGATGATGGATCGGCTACAAAGTAACAACACTTGGTCAGCACCTCATAAGGAACATTCATGCCATGTTTGGTTTTATTCCATTCAGTGGTTCTCTAAAAGAAGTCATTTGTATGCATTTCCCATAGGGTCCTATGTTAAACTAAGTCCCCCGCTGGCGGCCATCTTGGATGATGGATTGGCTACAAAGTAACAACACTTGGTGAGCACTTCATAAGGAACATTCATGCCATGTTTGGTTTCATTCCATTCAGTGGTTCTCTAAAAGAAGTCATTTGTATGCATTTCCCATAGGGTCCTATGTTAAACTAAGTCCCCCGCTGGCGGCCATCTTGGATGATGGATCGGCTACAAAGTAACAACACTTGGTCAGCACCTCATAAGGAACATTCATGCCATGTTTGGTTTCATTCCATTCAGTGGTTCTCTAGAAGAAGTTCAAAATGTAAAAAGTTAACGCCGACGACGGACGCCAAGTGATGAGAAAAGCTCACTTGGCCCTTCGGGCCAGGTGAGCTAAAAATAAATAAATTGTTAACACAGAGATATGTCTCGCATTTTGTAATTTTGATGGTATACAGCAAATGTTGAAATCAAAATAACTTGCATACCAAATATCATTGTCCTACCACTAGTGGTTCCCCATAAACTTGACCTAAACACAAGCTGCAACGTTAACTTGCAGTAAACTATGCAAAAGTTTCAAAGTCAATGAACCATGAGGGGTGGAGCCATATCATCTGCATGAAAATGAGACTTCCAAATGCCAAAATAACTGCATACCAAATATCATTGACTTAACATTAGTTGTTCATCTTAAACTGATCTAATAACAAATTTTAACATTTAAATAATGCAAAACCTGCAAAGTCAATGAACCATGACTGACGGTGGATATAACAAATCTCCATGGCAATGAGTTGTGGCCATGCTTATACAACTGCATACCAAATATCATTGACCTACCACTTATGGTCGGCCTTAAACTGACCTAATCACAAACTAATGCATGTAAACTAAGCAAAAGTTTCAAAGTCAATAGACAATGACTGAGGGGGCGGGTCCAAATAATCTCCATGGAAATGAGATGTACAAAAGCTAATACAACTGCATAACAAATATCATTGACCTACCACTAGTGGTTCCCAATAACTTGACCTACCGTTCCTACTCGCTTATTAGTCGGAAAATTGGGAGTAAAATTCATAATCCAGAGAGGGGGACCGACTAATAGACGAGATCTAGCGACCAGAGGAAAAATCCAAGCTTGAGAAAAGTGGTCAGGAGTGAATTTCCTGTTCAAAACTACGTTTTTGATTGCCAAACTTACATAAATCAATAAATAAAAAGTTTTTGTTGAAAATAAATGACTACAATACTGTCTTTGTGTTTTATTTGTTCTTTGGTAAACATTTTCTGCAAATTCGTGTTGAAATTCTACTGTTTCCGGTTTGTGTATTGATTTTCATGGTCACATGGTTTTCCTATAAACCCAAAAGAAGAGCCAAGAACCAAAATTGAAAAGGAGATAACAATGTACCAAATATGTGAAAGGATGTTTTCAGCGGAGTTATTGTGTCATTATTGTGATATCATGATATCAATTCAATGCTTATAAATCATATAATAATCAAAAAATAATTTTAAGATTCATTCCCAAAATCAAAATATTATTCATTAAAGTGTCTCAGGCAAACAAAAATTACAAAATTGATTGACAAGCCAATATAATCCATTGATAACCCCAATTAAGAGACAAAGAGTTGTATTTACTAAAGGTGTGAAAACTATCAGTGATAGGTAAACAGATGACACTAATGAGTTGGAGTTAGTTATTTTAATATATTGATTAGCTTCACTTAATTTTTTTAATCCTTTAATCATCACAATATAATAAGAATTATGAAGTGTACATGCTCATTTAACACCGAGTTATGTATGCTGTGAAAAATATTTTCATCAAGTGTTGATTGACTTTAAATTTTTCAGGTTCATATTGGTTTATATTCGCTTTTCTCAAACAATAGGTTGTTAGTCATACCCTACAAAATCATTGATGCATTACGTAAACAACACATGGCTAATCTAACATTTGAACAGTGAACAAAACAAGAGAAATGAATACATCTTTATTATTAACAGCAATATAAATTATCATGATGAGCATCAACTAAATTCAAACCAAACAAACATTAATGCAGAAATGAATATTATTCCTGGATTTGCATTGGTTTTACCGGCGTTCAGTTACTGTCAGCTGAAAAAAAAATGCCCAAATTTTGTCCGACTTATACGAGGGTCAAGACTAAATCCTTAGAATTTGGAGCTGAAAAGGGCCCCCGACTTATAGTAGGATCGACTATTAGGCGAGTTTATACGGTAATTACAAACTAATACATTATAAATTTCGTCGACTAGAGACATAATTCAGTGTGCATACCTTATCCATGAAGAGTGCAGGAGGTGTACGCTTCAATTCCTGACAGCAGGCAAATAATCCCAGTAGATGGCGATCCCATCCTAATCCACAGCAGGCATCCATTTTAATCTGCGTTTGATATTGAACAGCTTTTCTCAGAAGCATAAGTTTTTGTTCTCGTGTTGCTGACTCGCTCAACATACTTTTCACAAACTGTGCTGAGTATTCTGAAACTGGACGGATTGTCTCGGTTCTTCCTTCAGAAAATATTCTACAATTTATAACAATATGATTATTCTATTTTGCCAATTTTATAGTCTTATGATCTTAAGTTGCAAAACTATTTAATTTTACAAGTATGATTATAAAACTGAGTCTGAGAAAAAATCTGTGAAATACACCTTTTTGTGGGAAAGTTAGAAAATAGTGGTCTCTCAATTACATCTAATAGGCTGGTGATTTTGTTTTGTTGGGTTGCTCTCATGTTGTTTACACCAGTGGCAGATTCGGTGATTTTGTAGAGGGCATATGCAACCCCCAACCCCTTTGATTTTTTAACTATCTTTTTTATAATTTGTTATAAATATTACTTATTTGAATTAACTCGGTAATAGCTATTTTCTACAGTTACCTTGTTGATGCAGATTCATATGTTTTTGGTACTTTCTGATATAACTTGTAATAAGCCAGCTGCAGTACCATCTGAAAGTATAATTTCAAAGTTATTCAATTATCAATTTCAATATAATGATAACGAAAGGTACATAGCCAAAAATTTACAACTCAGGTCTCAATTATGATGATGCTAAATAACCATTATCTGCCTACAGTGATGTGGAAACATGCCTTCTTATATACATGGCTTAAGGATGTTCACTCCTCTTGTTTTTGATTTTTTTGCCAGATATTTGGAATCCTCTGGTTTTATCCATGTAGAGCCATTAAAAATTTTGCCCACTAACCCCTACTTTTCTTTTCATAATTTTATTACATATAGTTTAAAAAGCCATATATGAAAATCTTATAAAATCCTTATTATTTATTCATTGTTTTTGAAAGAAAAAAGGTGCCAATGCAGGGCTTCCAAAACGGTCATATATTCCGGACTTGACCGAAACTTTCATAAAAAGACCGGCTGCTCTCAGCCTCAAACGGTCAAATAGAATTGGTGTGCCACATTTTGTTATTCAAGGCATTTTCATGAAACGGTCATTTCAATTTTTACCAACTATCGATCGATAAAAATGTCCGTTTGGGGCTTTGGGCATGTCCGTTTGGGCATTTTAGTTTATAATTGTGGCAATCTATTTCACAAAGATATTTCGGTCATAATTGGGTTTAATAAAACAGAAGCAGCATATTTCAGATACTTTGAAGTGTCTCAGTTAGTCTAATCCTCTGGGTACATAAATGTACGGCTTGGTCTTTAGCTTGTGTACATCAATAAAAAGTAGAAAAAACACGTTTTCTTTTATTTAAATAACAACAAGCTGTCAAACAATTATCCCTTGAATAAGTTATATTGAAGCCATAAATCATTCACTGATTACAGGTTTGTTACCTTTGATGAGGTGTCCTTAGCTTATCTTTATCAATAGAATTAATGATGCATAACAATGTACATAAAGGTAATCCGGTAAACGAGGTCAAACATGTAAGCGTGTATGGAACATCCTATTTAATTACGCTTTATAGATATTATTTTAAATGAGCATTCAGTTTTAAAAGTATCCTGATATTTAAAAGTTATTCTTCAAATAAGGATATTTATAAATGAATAAGTATGATATATATTATTTTATTTAACACAGTACATCGTGTTAAATACTGGGGTACTCTCAAGGGGAAAATTTACTAAAATATATAGGAAAAACCAATGGACAAATTTCAGTCAATAAATGATTTAACTAAGTTAAATGGTGCCGTGATCACTTCTAAATTATATCAAGAGAACAATGCCTGCTCCGAATTTATTCAGACAATTTCCGATGTTATAGAGAAAGAGGTGATGTCCGACGTAAAGTTAAGTCCCGCCGTGGGAATTATGATCGACTAAGGTGTAGTCTAGGTATTGTCGCTTTAGATCAACTTATGAGGATAAGCTTAGTAGGTGTAGATGTTAAAGACTTTGACCCTGTTCCTGCTATCCGCAAATGGCAATCCGTTCGTAACCGCCATGTTTATCAGAACAATGCATTTAGCAAGCTCATGAATGTAAAATCTTTAATTAGACTAAATGAACTCTAATCTTGTGCTGTGATCTGTGCTTCTTTTCAATGTGCTCATTGTAATATTTATTGCGTGTGTTTGTCAGCATTGTGCTCTTCTGACATTTTATTGTTGTTATATGCTTACGTATATATACATAAAATATCATGTTGTTATTCATTAAATTATTTATCAACTGAGTATGTTTTTATTTATTCCTTATTTTCTAAATCAGGTTGGGAAATTGTACAAAGAAAAATGTTATCACTGTTCAGTAGATTTTACACGGTTTAAAACAATATCCTTCATCGGGCCTCCTCAATGTTATCTATAAATACCGCATCAGTTGTAAAAGTCACGTGGTCAGGTAATCAATACACAAAAAGAAAAGTATCACGTGTATTGATGATCAAGTTGTACTGCAATTAAAGCCAACATCAACAGTTTCAAATAAGATGGCCTTAATTTACAAAGTGTTAAGTACTCACAGAGAGAAGATAGATTATATAAACAGAAACAAAAACATGAGAACAGTCAGGTACTGAAGCTGATTGATGCAATGATGGTTACTGTATTACGATACACAGAAAAATGACACAATACCGAGGATAATATTTTATTTATTTTTAGAATGAAGAAAACAAAACAGTTATAAATAATTTTATTGCATATAACACTACTAATTATTTAGACACATATATCAATTTATGCATCCTCTCAGTTACATTTAAGTATACAGCTGATCATTGACCGTCAAAAATATTTCTTTGAAAAATGTCCGGCTGTCGTCAGGAAATTTTGGAAGCCCTGTGCCAATGTTAAATGAATGAAAAATCTAGAGAGAATCATTTCACGCCAAATTTTCAATGGCTCATACTTCGAAAACAAGCACAGGGACCCTTCAATTTTTTCTGCTTTTTAAATTCCTTTATTCATATACTTTCAATAAATAACAGTCTTTTAAAAAATTGTTATTTTGAAACAGAGTAGCAAACATCCTTAAGGTAGCAGTTCTATCTTCTGTAATAAAGCATATCTTATTACTAGCATACTGATTATTACATCTTATTTTATATTACTGTTGTTGCCAAATGAACATTCTTTAGTATATTTTTTTGGTGAAAATATGTATCTGTCTGACATTTAACCCACACAAACTAGTTCACTAAAAATAAGACTACCAATTCATGGCTAGTGATGCAGAGTTTTTGCCCTTATTCATTATTTTCATATTTAAAAACAAACCAGATTTCTGCATAAAGTATTGTATGATTATGAAATAAAAGACAACCCCATTCTGGTCTCATTTTAAGACTTTTTTAAGTGACTTCACCTGTATATATCCATCGGGGCTCATTCTTTTCTTCTTAATAAATCCTTTCCCATATTCCGGTGATGATACAACAAGTTCAAAACTGTGACTCTATAAAACAAATAAAAATCTTTACTACAAATTTAACCTGGCTAAAAAACAAAATTACATAAAAGTTAAACAATGCAACATCATTATTACATATCTCAAATATAGTTTTTGAAAATCAAATCTATTTTTTCATTTCACACTTAAAGCAACAAGCTGGGGTAATCTTTTGACATATATTTTGTCTAATTTCAAGAACATTTCCTCCAATACAGACCATATTCTATTAGCATATAAATTTGTGTGGCATTTCATTTTGATACTATTTATTTTTTCATGGTTTGATAATTTATAAATAATTGATTTTGGAGGTGACAAAGTGATTTTTTTTAGACAGGAATAATTACCACTAGTACTACAGAGATATTTTTACATACAACTCTTCTGTTGCAGATGAGACATTTTATAATATTACTTATTTGATATTTTACCTTTCAGCAATAATGATTTACTTTTTTCATTCTATAAAAAACAAATCTCACAATTTTTAAAGAGAATAAACTAAGTGAATCCTTACCAATTTTCTGAAATGTTCTTTTGCAGTATCTATCTCTGAGTCCATATATTTCAAATCCCAGTTTATTCTGAAAGAATAAAATCATTTTTAAAATTACAGTGAAATCTTTCTAATCAAAACAACTTTTGGATTGACAATTTTGTTCATATTAGACAGGTGTTTGGCTAACACCGGTTTAATAATGTAAGAATATGCATTCTATGATTCTATGACCTTATTCAAGACTTCAGTTAATACAGGTCTCAATTTTAACAAGAGCCTACTTTTTCAGGTTTCACAATATATCCAAAATAATGTTTACACTGATATATTTGTCTGTTTCACTGTACTCACCATTATTATGTCAATGATGAATCAACATATCAATTCTAACATTGGTATGTGTAAACTGTCTGGTTACAAGAGCGCAATTATTCGTAATGCATTTTCCATAGGGTAACAGTGGTGTTCCGTATTTTTTTCTCGAAGACTACACAAACTAGGGAAAAACGCCTAGCAGTTCTTGTTACTAGAAATACCAGTGTTGCATTACAACCAAAAAAATATATATGGTCATGCGGCAAAAATTGACTTAAAATGCAATTGAAAAAGATTGTCTATTTTTTTCGCTTAATGAAAAAGGCATATTTTTAATGGCCCCGACGTGCAGAAATGGAAGATATTTTCTATACTTTGCAAAATGTGAATTTGATTTTCTGGACTTTTTCAACCTAATTGGATAAGCTTTCGATTAAAAGTAATTCCAATTCTGTATCATCCAATCAGAAGCCGTACAGGATTCTATTCTGAGTACCATCTTGGGGTAAAAAACTTGCCGGTAAAATGTAAACAAATAATTGCGCTCTTGTAACCGTCTAGCAAAAACCCAGAGAACCATATTAGGCCATAAAATTGTGTAGATTCCCTTTAACTTTTAAAACATGGTATTTAATGTTATCCTTATTTGGATATAAAAATGAACGAGTTAATATGAGCAATTTTCAATAACACAAAAGTTTAAAAAAAGAATAATTGAATGATTTTAACGAATCTCAACATATTCTAACAGATAAAATTGAAAATAAAAATGGGGAATATGTCAAAGAGACAACAACCCGACCAAAGAGCAGACAACAGCTGAAGGCCACCAATGGGTCTTCAATGCAGCAAGAAAATCCCGCACCCAGAGGTGGTCCTCAGCTGGCCCCTAAATAAAACCGTGTGCTAGATCAGTGAAAATGGACGTCACACTAAACTCCAAAACATAGAACATTATCAACAAATGAATTTGAAGACATGGGTGCAAATTTATGAATAATTTCAATGGATCTCAACATATTTCAGAGAATATCAATTTAACATAAAATAAAATGCTCCGCAGGGCGCAGCTTGATACGACCGCAGAGGTCGAAACCTGAACAGTTGGGGCAAGTATGGACACAACATTCAAGCTTGATACAGCTCTGAATTTGGATTGTGATTAAATATTTGACACAGCATAGGTTTCTGACACAGAATGAATGTGGTCTAAGAACTTAAAAATTTTAAATTGGACATTCACCTATTATGGTCCAATATCCAAAATCTAAATACATGGTTAGATTTAGCATATCAAAGAACCCCAAGAATTCAATTTTTGATGAAATCAAACAAAGTTTAATTTTGGACCCTTTTGACCTCAATGTGGACAAAGTTGATAACGGGGCCCAAAAATCAAAAATCTAAATACATGGTTAGATTCAGCATATCAAAGAACCCCATATATTCAATTTTTGTTGAAATAAAACAAAGTTTAATTTTGGACCCCGATTTGGACCAACTTGAAAACTGGGCCCATAATCAAAAATCTGAATATATGTTTAGATTCAGCATATCAAAGAACCCTAAAAATTCAATTTTTGTTAAAATCAAACTTAGTTTAATTTTGGACCCTTTGGACCTTAATGTAGACCAATTTGAAACGGAACCAAAAATTAAGAATTTAAATACACGGTTAGATTCGGCATATCAAAGAACCCCAATAATTCAATTTTTGATGAAATCAAACGAATTTAAATTTTGGACCCTTTGGACCTCAATGTGGACCAATTTAAAAACGGGGCCCAAAATCCAAAAACTTAATACACGGTTAGATTCAGCATATTAAAGAAGCCCAAGAATTCAAGAATAAAACCCCATTGAAATTGATCAAGAAATAAGCAATTTATACGAAGTATCTTCTTTTGCACAATACTGTGCAATTGAATATTTCTTGCTATTGCGCAATACTGTACAATTGACAATTTCTTGCTATTGCGCAATATTGTGCTATTGGATATTTCTTGCTATTGCGCAATACTGTGCAATTGAAGATTTCTTGCTATTGCGCAATACTGTGCAATTGAAGATTTCTTGCTATTGTGCAATACTGTGCAATTGAAAATTTCTTGCTATTGCACAATACTTATTATATAATAATTTACACATCCTGTTTGGTGTGTATCTCCTACCATATCATTATTATTTGCTTTTAAATATAAATCAGAAATAACCAACTTAAAATGGAAAATTTTTAAAGAAAAAAAAAAGGAAAAAAAGAAACAAAAAAGAAAAAAAAAAAATCCCCCCCCCCAAATTTTTTGAACCCCTTATCATTCATCAACCTCAAACTCAATCCCAGCCTTCCCTTTGTGGTATGGTACCTAGCAGTACAATTTCAGAGAGATCCATACACTTGAACACAAGTTATTGTCTGGAAACTAGAAAAAATGCTTATTTTTGGCCCCTTTTTGGCCCCCAATTCCTAAACGTTTCAGGCAATTACCACCAAACTCAATTCCAGCTTTCCCTTTGTGATATGGAACCTTGTAGTACAATTTCAGAAATATCCAAACACTTACACACAAGTTATTGTCATGAAACTAGAAAAATGCTTGTTTTTTGCCCCTTTTTTTTACCCTAATTCCTAAAATTTTGAGGCAATTACCCCCAAAATCAATTACAGCCTTCCCTTTGTGATATGGAACCTTGTGGTACAATGTCAGAGAGATTCATACACTTACACACAAGTTATTGTCTGGAAGTTACAAAAATGCTTATTTTTGGCCCCTAATTCCTTAACTGTTGGTACCATAACCCCCAAAATCAATCCCAACCTTCCTTTCATGGTATTGAACCTTATGGTAAAATATCATGGAGATCCCTTCACTTAAACTAAAGTTAGAGTGCGAAAACCAATGTGTCTTCTGACGACGACGCCAACGTCATACCAATATACGACGAAAAAAATTTTAATTAATGGTCGTATAAAAAATAATAGTATGAGAAATTACTTTTGAGGGACAGGTAGTTTCTTCTTTCTGGTTTGTTCACTGATTATGTTTCCTTCAGCTGTATATGTCTCACTTTGTAGAAAATATTCCCACATTCTTCCTGGTAGCTACATTACAAATTATTTACAGATGAGCAAAGGATACAGTAGTAATTCAAGATGTACATGTCTCAATTTTCAACTTAACCTTAATATTTTGTAAACCCTCTGAATTTTTCATAGGGTTTACATTAATTTAATTGGTATGTGCTCAGTAACCCCTATATTTGAAAAAAATTAATAGAAAACAAACATTTAGATACACTTTTGACAAAGCATTATCTTATTTTTGTTATTTCTTGCAGTTTGTTTTTATTCTTTCCACATATTCAATAAGAAAAATCTTGGAAGAACCACTTTCCCTCCAAAAACTGAAAATTCTCATGTTTGTATTTCAAAACCAGTATTTAAACCTATTTTTTATTTTTACATATTTTTAATCTAATATACATTATTTATTCAACAAATGGTATTTATGAAACTGATATTTTTCATTTTAAAAAGCACAAAAAGTAATGTGTTTGATAATTGAAATTGAATAATAACCAATGAGTTATCTCCCTTAACTGATAATAAGCAATACATTTCATGCAATTGCAGCATAAGGAATGCAAAAAAAATCGCTGCAGCTCCCACAAAAAAAATTTGTTGTGTGATTCCAGCAGTTGAAATAAATTACAATTTAACAATAGCCACAAAAACTAATTAAAATGCAAAAAGCACAAAGAAATTTCATTCTCATCTGAGCCATCAAAACCTTTAATTTGCACTCCTTCCTCAAAACTTAAATGTTCTATAACCTATAAGCATAAATACTTTTTTAAGAGAGCTGAAACAAAAATTAACAGACTTACAGTTGCATCTCCAGCTGTATGTTCAGCATTTACACCAACAATTCCATTAGAAAATATAGCAAATGTCAATGATTTATCGTTCCATCTGTAAAATGATAAAAAGCAATATATAGAATCAAATCTGAAAATCCTGCTATGACAAACTAAAATTAATGAATATAATTTGCCAAAACAAACAAAATATGCTTGAAATAACTTGATAAAAAATTTTTTTGGTATTTGAATTACGGTCATGTGCATACCTATAAATAAAGAACGTATGTACATGTATATTGAACCCTTTTTGGTTTTTTTGTGTTATTTTTTTGCTGTCTCTTTGACAAAAATATTTCCGTATCTTATATTCACCATTAGATTATTGTGAGAACTGCATGACCTAAATACCTCTCGTTTTTATGATCAAGACAAAACTAACTTGTCATGTATTGTTCAAATAGAGAATAGAAACGGGGCATGTGTCAAAGAGACAACAACCCGACCAAACAGCAGAAAAAAGCCCAAGGCCACCAATGGGTCTTCAACGCAGCCAGAAAATTCAGCACCCAGAGGCAGGCTTCAGCTGGTCGCTAAACAATAATGTATACTAGTTCAGTGAAATAGACACCAAATTAAACTCCAAAACATACAAATGTTAGTTTTTATTTCAACATGATTTTTTATTGTCCCTTTGGTATCTTCTGCATTTTTTTTAGGTCATGTGATCTGGAGTCAACAGTTTAAAGATTTTCATTGGCTTATAGAACATTTGTTTTTGTGACAGCATGTTTATTTTGGCACTATAAAATTACTGTGCATTCATTATGCCCCACCTAAGATAGTAGAGGGGCATTATGTTTTTCTGTCTGCGTCCATTTGTTTGTCCATTCTTCTGTCCGTTCTTCCGTCTGTCCCGCTTCAGGTTAAAGTTTTTGGTCAAGGTAGTTTTTGATGAAGTTGAAGTCTTATCAACTTGAAACTTAGTACACATGTTCCCTATGATATGATATTTCTAATTTTAATGCCAAATAAGTTTTTTTACCCCAATTTCACGGTCCACTGAACATAGAAAAAGATAGACAAGAGTGGGGCAAATTGCTGATAATGAATAAATAAAAAAAAAATTATAATAAAGAGATTTATTAATTAAACATTATTTTTAGTTATTGGGGGCTGGATGGGGTTTACAGAATAGAGAACAATAGTTAAAAAAAATATGAATAGAGAAAAATGAGCAAAATATATAAAGAATAGAGAATAATTGGGGGCAAAAGATAAAAAATAAAAGAATTCAGTAATAAAATATTGATTACAGAGCTGAACAATGTAAAGAAATCATCTTATTAAAAATTTAATAGTAAAATCATGTTTATAAGAATTATACAGAATAAGTGTTATTCTTAAAGATAAAAAATGCCCTAAAAATTTAAAGAATATAGATATTCAGGACCATCCCCCCCAAAAAAAATCCAGACCCTTGGTTAATAGTTTTGTTTATTTAACTTACCTGTTTGTTCCATTTCCACATAGAGTAAATAACCCATTTTCATCAATGGACTGAAATTGAAAAAAAAAAACAATTATATATTTTATATATTTCATCATGTTTCAGTACCATTTGAAATAACTTTTCCTCTCCATATACATCACATCTCTATTTGCAACAAATTTTTTAAAGTTAGTACCTGTGTATACAAAGTTAGTATTTATCAAAACGAATTGTTTTGAAAATATTCCATCACCTCAATGATTGATCAATTGATAGTTGCTGAATGTCCAGCAGAATCATAACATGTATAGCCAGGATGATAACATATTAGTTTGATATGAATGTGATACCAGATTTATAATAGACAGACATATTGAACCAGATTTTAAATATAGCATGTTCAAAATGTACTTTGAGCTTTTGATTTTGCCATTTGATTAGGGACTTTCCGTTTTGAATTTTCCTCAGAGTTCTGTATTTTTGTCATTTTACTTTTTTGACATATTCTCTTTTTTCTAAATGCAATATGCTAGGCAGCAAAGTAACATATGCTTATTTAATAGTGTCTGGTTTGTCACCCAACTGGGAATTGAACTGATGTTTTATCACACTTCAGTTAAGACAAGCACATAACCACTAGAGCACTGAGACAGTGCATTCAATTTATATCATATTTCAAAACGTATTAAAATTTCTTCTAGTTAATTTGTAATATTTCTTTTCTACCTCAAATGTTTATATCTTAAGGGTATCTTTGCTTATCTCCTTTTCCCACATACTAAAGAACTTTCAATGTATTTTTTAATTACAGATATATTTCCTGTATTTATAAATATATTTACTGTTTGTAAACAAATCTGACACAGTTCAAAACTCTGTATCACAATCCTCCTAAATCACTCATCGATATCAGTCATGGATGTAGCATCCTAAGGTATACAAAATGATTGGCTGATGGTTGATTAAAATCCATGCATATTCAGGATGATATGTTAATATAATATGAAGATAGCATGCTTTGTACTAGCCAGACATGCCAAGTCATTTTTTTTTTAAATACTATTCAATAGACTAGTCTTTCTCCTAAATGTCAGGTGTTTGGCAGAGAAGCAGCAAATACCAATTTTATAAATCTTTCATTTGACCTGGCTCATTGAAACCATGATCTCCTGCATACAAGGGAGCATAATACCAGTAGAACACTGAGGCAATATGCAAAATAACTAAGAAAAGTTGTAACAAATGTATGTTAAATCATCTATGGAAAAGTATTAAAATTAAAGTGTTCAATAGAATAATTTAAGAAAGGTGAAACTTCATCCTTTAAATTTCAAATTTTCTATCAAATTTCTTTGTAACATTTGTAAACCTCCAATGTTTCATTTTAATGCTTCCTTGCTTATCTTTTTTTCCAAATCCACTGAAACTTAAAATGTACTGTTCAATTACAAATATGTTTCCTGTAGCTATAAATATAGTACATTCAATATCAGTTAACAAATCTGACCATGTCATACCTTGGCATGTTATAAAAGTATATCCGACACATTTAAAAAATTCTGTTTAAACTTCCTAGTAAATCAGTCATTCATATTAAGTCATTGAAGTAGTGATCTATAGTATACAAAATAATTGATTGATTGATGGCTGTTTACTTTCCATTTGCAATTATTACATGTACTTTCAGGATGATTACATGTTGATGTAATATGAAGATAGCCTGCTTTTTACTAGTCTGACAATCTGATTTGGATTTATTATGTGTGAACTAATAGGGTAACAAGTCTCTTTAAGATATGTACCCTACCAGACACATTTTTCTGACTTTAGACAAGTCTTTGATCTTGTTCTTTATAAATGCAGCATGCTTGGCAGAAAAGCAGCCGATACAAAATTAAAAGTTTTTGATTTGACTTAGCCAGCGATTGAACTCTTAACCTCTTGAACTTGGGGCTAGCACACCACTAGGAGACCAGTAAGGCAGTGTATATAAAATATATATTAAACAGACTATGATACCCTGTCTAATTCCAAAACAAACTAGCGACCAATAGAACATGCTCTACCAAAGCTCTTGAGCAAATATGTAGGCCTCATTATAAATAAGAAGATGCGGTATGAGTGCCAATGAAACAACTCTCCATCCAAGTCACAATGTATAAAAAGTTAACAATTACAGGTCAAAGTGCAGCCTTCAACACAGAGCCTTGGCTCACACCGAACAGCAAACTATAAAGGGCCCCAAAATGACTAGTGTAAAACAATTCAAACAGGAAAACCAACTCATGTTGATATAAATGTGAAGGGGAAAACCCCATATAATTTCTATATATACTCACTGATGGTTTCTCGTCATCAAAAGAGAACACAGTTATTGCAGCTTCTATAGCATGTAAACTTTCTTTATTTGTAGGATTCTCCATTAATTTTATACGATTCTAAAATATAAGATGAAAACCCAATATTGCAATGAAAGATTGTTTTCATGAAAATGAAGAACAGTAACTTTATAAACATACTATAGTCATGTTTCTTAGATGTATTGCTTTTTTTCATAGAAAGTTATGAGATTAAGAGAAACTTAAATATCATTTCAAATATTAAGTTTGTCTGAAACCATATGATAATTGATAAAGACTAATTTGGCGTTATATTTAAATGATATTCAACAAGAATGTGTCCATAGTACACAGATGCCCCACTCGCACTATCATTTTCGATGTTCAGTGGACCATGAAATTGGGGTCAAAACTCTAATTTGGCATTTAAATTAGAAAGATCATATCATAGGGAACATGTGTACTAAGTTTCAAGTTGATTGGACTTCAACTTCATCAAAAACTACCTTGACCAAAAACTTTAACCTGAAGCTGGACAGACAGAGGGACTTACGAACGAACGGACGCACAGACCGAAAAACATAATGCCCCTCTACTATCGTAGGTGGGGCTAGAAACTAATTGTCAATCTAAAGGTTAATTACACTAGATTTCTTCCTTCTATGACGTCAGTTCAGGAGTTTCGCAATATCAACAGTATGACATAAACAAACATTTGCAATTTTTCAAAGAACTGAAAGTGTCTAATTGAGATATGAGATTATTTTTAGATTGTGCTTTTATTATCAACAATATTTACCTGTGCCCATGTTTCTCTATCTTGAGTGGTAAATACTGACACCTGGTGGCATTCTTCTGTGGCTGTAATCAATTAATTTAAATTTAATAAATTCCTCTACATTGCTTGCATTTAAAACATAAATTCTTTTAATTACTGATAGTGACACTGTCACAATAATTTTGAAAGTTTCGATGAAATTTAGTAAGTGGATTGAAACAAGTTGCTGATACATAAAGCTTATCTCCTGTAGTAAATATGGCAAACTAAAAATTATTTGGATAAGAAATAAAATATAAGATAAGTGCACATTGCAATCACATATTCAAGATTCTTGAAACTTGTATTAAAATTAAGTTAATGAGTTAGCACTTTCAGGGAAAATAACATTTCAAAAGTGCAGCCAGATGAAGGAACAAAAGAACAAACAGACATAACAATCACAGTTACACCCCTGCTTCATTTAGCTTCCCAACAATGTTGGGACTGATGTATTCCCTATTATTGTGATTAAAAAAGTTGTCCACCTTTTCAGAAAATGCAGGAATCTTCATTCTTTAAAATAAATTCTAAGCAAAGGTGAAAATATTTACTGTGGGGTGTTATAAAATGGAACAAGAATGCACATGCTGAAATGTCTCGGATGCTTTACTAAACATTTATTTTATGTTGATAGTCCTAAATATAAAGTGTTCTACAAGTATCACTTTAACATAAACATGATCCAAGAAAATGAGGTCAAGGTCAGATAAACTAAGTCAGAAATACATGTACACCTTAAAATCATTCCATACACCGAATATAGTTGACCTATTGCTTATAGTATCCCAGAAACAGACCAAACCATGAAAACTTTATATCAACCAATGAACCATGAAAATGAGGCCAAGGTCAGTTGAACCCTGCAAGACAGACATGTACACCTTAAAATCATACCATGGATCAACTATAGTTGACATATTGCTTAAAGTATCTAAGAAACAAACTTAACAAGGAAAACTTAACATTTACCAATGAACCATGAAATGAGGCCAAGGTCAGATGATAGCCAGACAGAAATATACACCTTACAATAATTCCATACACCAAATATTGTTGACCTATTGCTTATAGTTTAAGAAAAAAAGACCAAAACACAAAAGCTTAACATTGAGCAATGAACCATGAAAATGAGGTCAAGGTCAAATAAAACCTGCTAGACGGACATGTACGTCATAAAGTATTTCCATACACCAAACATAGTAGACCTATTGCATACAGTATTAGAAAAAAAGACCAATACACAAAAACTTAACTTTGACCACTGAAACATGAAAATGAGGTAAAGGTCAGATGACAGCTGCCAGTTGGACATGTACACCTTACAATCCTTCCATACACCAAATATAGTAGACCTATTGCTAATAGTATCTGAGATATGGACTTGACCACGAAAACTTCACCTTGTTCACTGATCAATGAAATGAGGTTGAGGTCATGTGAAAACTGTCTGACAGGCACGAGGACCTTGCAAGGTACGCACATACCAAATATAGTCATCCTATTACTCATAATAAGAGAGAAATTAACATTACAAAAAATCTTAACTTTTTTTTCAAGTAGTCACTGAACCATGGAAATGAGGTCAAAGACAATGGATATATGACAGATGGAAACTTCATGTCATGAGGCATCTATATACAAAGTATGAAGCATGCAGGTCTTCTACCTTCTGAAATATTAAGCTTTAAAGTAGTTAGTTAAAGCTGCCGTCGCCTCCAATGCCAGATCACTATCCCCATGTCTTGCTTTTTGCGACAGAAGCCACAGGCTCGACAAAAACTCTATTCTACTACTTTCAACTACTGTAAAATATGTAGTTTACCTTCTGTTTCTGCAAATATTTTCTCTAATATTGAATATATTTCTGTAACTGTCAATAATCTGTCTTTTCCATCATTGTCAGGTGCCTTTACTTCTAACTTGTAATATATTCCTCTCCTATCGTATAAAAAGAATTAATTGTAATGCTTTAAATATTGCAAATATTGGAGATTTAAAAATGTATGAGTATAAATTTTAAATTCTAATTGCATTATTTCTATGCTGTGTATCCTGAAATTGCAATAATTAGGTCTTTCCATTTTTCCGTGTTAGGACCTATTGGTTTTCTTCTGATTATTATTATTTTTTTTTTTTTCTTCCGCCTAATTTTTTTCCTTCACTATTTTTTTGTTTCGCAAGATGTCGCTTAGATATTTGGAATGTGATATCGAACAGTTTATACGCTTTTGAAACTGACACCGCTTAACCGAATACTTTCCCATATAAGAGTTATCTCCCCGAACACTGTTTTTCTTGTTATCTCTAAGGCTTCGCAATCGCATAAGATACCAACAAATTTATTTTTCCAAATTGCTCGTTGCATCCTCAGGATGTTCTGATTTATTTTGACCGAAGCCGTATAGAGATTCCATATGAGAGTTATTTCCCCTTTTGTATTTGATATAAGTGAAATGTATTTTTAACTGGAAAACCATAAGTGATAGAGGCCTAGGGTCTTTTGATTTGAGGTCCTTGGTCCAAAAAAATGAAAATGAGGTCAAGGTCAAAGGTCAAGGTCATGTTCAAAATTTTGATTTTAGCTTGTTATCACTAATTTTCAGAAATCTTACAAGATATCGACAAAATATTTTTACAGAATTGTTAGTTGCGACATGTCGTAACATGTAAATTTTAGTTGAAAGGGTACGGAGACATTTAATGGGAGTTTTCTCCCCTAGTATATCTAAAATTACAGGTATGGTGATATAACTCATTTATCATATATAATTAAGACCTAGAGTCTTTTGATTTGAGTTCCTTGGTTTATGACCTTGAAATTGAGCTCAAGGTCATACTTAAATTTAACGTTCTAGATTTTGACCTTTGCTTTTACCTCATATGTATACATGATAAAGACATGGGACTTATTGCATTAGGTTGCAAGCAATGTGACCTTGAAAAAGCCAACCGGAAGTGACCTTTTGTAAACAGGAAGTAGCTATTTTTTGTACTAAATTAATGTAAAAGTATATAGAACCATATATTTTTGGAATCAGTGTCAACTAAACTATCAAACAATACCGAAAGTAACATTTTTTAAACCAGAAGTAAAACATTATCTCCCTTATTTATTTTTTTTTTGTATAGAAACCATATATTTTTGGAATCAGCGTTCAATAAGCTGTCATTTGACGCTGAAATTGACATTCAAAACCAAATTTAAATATTTTCATATCAAAATAGATCCTTACTGGTGGAAAGACCTTCAATTGTTCTCTGAACAACTGGTTTTTAATTATTATTATTTTTTTTTTTTTTTCTTCCGCCTAATTTTTTACCTTCACTATTTTTTTGTTTTGCAAGATGTCGCTTAGATATTTGGAATATGATATCGAACAGTTTATACGCTTTTGAAACTGACACCGCTTAACCGAATACTTTCCCATATAAGAGTTATCTCCCCGAACACTGTTTTTCTTGTTATCTCTAAGGCTTCGCAACCATATCAGAAACCGACAAATTTATTTTTCCAAATTGCTAGTTATATCCTCAGGATGTTCTGTTTTATTTTGACCGAAGCCATATAGAGATTCCATTTGAGAGTTATTTCCCCTTTTGCATTTGATATAAATGAAATGTATTTTTAACTGGAAAACCATAAGTGATAGAGGCCCAGGGTATTTTGATTTGAAGTCCTTGGTCCAAAAAAATGAAAATGAGGTCAAGGTCAAAGGTCAAGGTCATGTTAAAAATTTTGATTTTGGCTTGTTATCTCTTATTTTCAGAAATCATATAAGATATTGACAAAATATTTTCACACAATTGTTAGTTGCGGCATGTCGTAACACATAAATTTTAGTTGAAAGGGTACGTAGACATTTGATGCAAGTTTTCCCCCTTTTATATCTAATATTAGTCGTATGGTAATATAACTCATTAACAATTTAAAGTAGAGGCCTAGAGTCTCTTTATTTGAGGTCCTTGGTTTATGACCTTGAAATTGAGCTCAAGGTCATAGGTAAATTTAACGTTCTAGATTTTGACCTTTGATTTTACCTCATATGTATACATGATAAAGCCATGGGATTTTTTGAAGTTTGCAAGCAATGTGACCTTGAAAAAAACAACCGGAAGTGACCTTTTGTAAACCGGAAGTAGCTATTTTTTGTACTAAATTACTGTAAAAGTATATAGAACCATATATTTTTGGAATCAGTGTCAAGTAAACTATCAAACAATACCGGAGGTAACATTTTTTTTGAACCGGAAGTAAAAAATTATCTCCCTTATTTATATCTTTTTGTATAGAAACCATATATTTTTGGAATCAGCGTACAATAAGCTGTCATTTGACGCTGAAATTAACATTTAAAACCAAATCTAAATATTTTCATATCAAAATAGATCCTTACTAGTGGAAAGACCTTCAATTGTTCTCTGAACAATTGGTTTTTAATTTACCTTGCATTTCTGTCCATTGTTCACAAGGATTGATTATCGTAATTTGAAATTAAATTAATTAAATCTCATTGTGTAAATGAAGCAGATCCTAACCTTGTAATTATTATGTAATTTGAATCTTTGTATGTATCCAATCTGTCTATCCCTGGACATGGAACTCTCACTGTGCTGAATTGTGTTCTGAAAATATAACAGAAAAGGTTATAACTTCTTTATCTACAGTAAGCACAATGTAATTCAGTTAAAAAAAAACTCTTGGTGGTGAAATTTCACTGTGAATTCTGGTGATTGTGGGTGATTGGGATCATAAATCACAGTTCTGTCCCCTAAAATCACCCTGATTTTTCAGTGCATCACTTAACATTAGCGAGAGTGATTCTTCCTTTGTGATTTTTCACTGAATCCCCTTGTGAGTACGAGGTTTTTACCTTGAATATAATTGCTATCAATAAATTCACTAGTCATTAATTGTCAAGGTTAATGGAGTTAATGGAACATCTCTTAATTGTAAATGAACCATTATCAGTCTTTAGTTATTTCTTGGGTCTTTTATCCCTTTTAGGGAATTTAGTGATTGCAGATCTCTGAAAGCCACTACTTTAGATTCAAGACAATTCAGTGCTTGACATATGGTGTAGACACTTGTTTATTTAAGAATTGAATGCTTCTTTTGGTAAATTTATTGGGGTGTAAAAGCGTTGACCGAAGTACATTTTGTATGAAGTGCTAAAAATATGCACACGGTCAACGCTTTTACAACCCTATAAAACTACTCAAAGAAGCATGTAATACTTATAATTACATTTTTTTTCTAGGGTCATGAAAACACGATTTCTATCAAGTTTTTCTTTTATTTACTTGTGCACTTTATTGTGGAAGCTCATGTCATCATGAACCTTGCATGAAGGTTAATTTCAGAATGACGAGAGATTGCTGTTAGCCAATCAAAATAAGGTATTATAATGAAACATACATGTAATGTAATTATTAATGAAAACATTATCTTGACCTCTAGATGTCTATTTTGTGTGTTATGGTGAAGATTCTGAAAAGTTTTATTGAATATAAAGTCAAAGGTTCAGGCAGAGAAGTGGCTACAAAAGTGTGTACTTTAATGTGTGGATATGACAAAGTCCATGTCATGCCAAAGTAAACCCCAAATATCATTTATATGACAAAAAAGAATGAGGTTGGGCAAAATTAAATCCTGTGAGAAGGATAGTGCGAAAGATTCTAAAAGTTTTGTCAAGCAGTTCAGAAACAGAAGCTGTACAAAAGGACGGATGGATGAAAGAATAAAACATATATCTCCATAACTATATCATGTATATGTCACTTTCAAATCAGGGTGTATTTAAATAAAGGGTTAATAAATGATTTCTGTCTAAGACATACTTATAACTTTCCATACACATTGGAATCATGTCCTGCATGTATTGTGGTTTCAGTGTTTCATCTTGTAAATGTTCATGGAACCTGAAAATATGAAAATATTTGTTATCTTTAATAATTCACTCTTCATGAATTGGCAATAACAGATTGTCTCTAGTCAAAGAATAGAAAACTATTATATTGACAAATAGTTGTTCACTTTAGAATAAGTTGGCATACCACATGTTCTCCTGTCAAATGGTAAATTTTGTACGTTATTAACATTTCAGTGTAATTTTGCACATGGTCTCCAAGATGTAATTGGTGTTTCTGCTGATATTTTACATAACAATTCAATGTATTCATTGTCCCACTTACTAGATGGTGTCTGCCTTTGTGTTAGTGTTGAGTACCGACTGGGAATTATTTTTCTTGTCAAACCAGTGTGGGTGTTAAAAAAATTAAAAAGATAATTGTGGAGTCATATTTGTTTTAAAATTGTGGTTACTGTGGATTCATTTATATTTGTGGGTACTAATTTTTGTGGATTGTGGAAAACTTAAATTTTCGTGAATATTTGCTTTCATGGTTTTCAAAGTCTACCTACTACCTTATAGAAAATTTCTTATTTTTAAGCAGTGAAATTCCTGGTTCACATGCACCCATAGGGTAAATACAAAGCAAATAGGTATTTAACGAATAATTATGAATCTACAGTAGTCAACACAAATTATGTTATTACCTGAGAATCCAGTGTATAAGAGTAGCCCCTCTTGCCTTCTGTTTTGTACTTGGTATGTTAAGTCTGTCTGTGGCATAACAGTTCACATTAACTGGAATATAAATATCATTTCTACATACTTTAAATATTTAAATTATATATACAGATCTGCATAAGTTTGAAAAAAAAAAGATTTTAGTTCATAAAGTCATAAGTTTTGAAAATTGGATTTTCAGGCATTAAGTTTTACAACAAAGCAACAGCACATGTACCTTAAGCTGAGAAATCTTTTTTTCTCTCTCGCACAATGTGTGGAGATCCGCAGAAGTTTTATTCTTAGAATTATATTTAAGTAACTAAATGTGTCAGGACAATGCAAATGCCACTGCTTGTAGACACATACATTCCAAGGGCTGTAAACCTTGAAAAGTAAGGTTTCCATAATGAAACATGAAATAAACATCTAATACATCCTTCTACACAAAATCTCAGTATCTACAAGCATAGTTCAAAAAGGTCAGGATTATATGTTGGATTTCTGAAGGATGAAAGTACAGAATGAAGGAATGATTGATTGGCAGAGAAGGCTAACACTGTATGCCCAGTCACTGAGCGGTGGCGATAAAAAAAAAACTACAATAGGTATTAAAATGCTGGAACCTCAAAGATAATATTTTTCATAGTATGGTAATATAGCATTCAGGTAAATATCATAAGTATCAATTATAGGATTATTGCATATTAATATTGCAAAATATTAGCTGTGCGTCAGTCACAATATGCAAGTTTTTAGCTACTGACTATGATGAATGAAGTCAGAAGTCTTTATATTAAGATAAGAAGGTGATATTTTACAAAATGAGTTTAAGGATCTTCTGATCAATCTATTTATGAGATTGTCTTTGTGTGGTTTTCATGATCAAAACAGAACTTTTTCTTGGCTTATAAGACAAAACTTAACCAGTTAGATTCATACATCCTCGGCTTTCAAATGCTAAGGTTGGAGCGTTCCTGATCAAATAAAAATCAGAAAAGTGGTTCAGACGCACGTAATTCATAATAATATTTTCATTTTGGAGTCAATGCTGGGTCAAACTTTATGACATCAGTGATAAGTTAGGGGTATCTGAAGTCAACACATCAGACTTTGTATTGTGACACAGACCAATAAGTGAATTAACTTTGTTATCTAATACCCTATGTTTTCCTGTCATATGATTATTGACCATTATTGTTTTTATTTACATAAATGACGTGGATGACCCCTGAGTGAAGAATTTACTAATTATGAACATTTTCCTACCAGCTTTGCCATGTTTAATAGAAAAGGACCACTTGGCAATATAACAGGTGTGAGGTGTCACATGCAAAGCATGATGAGCTCATTCTACCAGAGCGCCTAAAATCTCATCAGGTCTTATATAGTTCATACTGCTGAGATCTAATTTTATAATATGAACAAAAGTGCTCACGCTGAGATGTCCAGCCTGGGCCTTTGGTCATAAAACTTTACTCAGTACTCGGAGTACAAAATTTGTGCTCGAAACACCAAATCCAGTATTCTGATTGGTTGTCAGTCTGAGTATGATAATCATGCTCGAAATTTTTATGACCGTATAGTAAGGACTGCTATACTGATTATGATTGAATTCAATGTTGAAGTCTTTTAGATAAAGGTTCTACTACAAGTTTCACATAAGCCTAACATTATCAATGATCCATGTGAATGAGTTCAAGGTCAAATGAACTATGCAAGACTGACTGATATGTACACTTTACAATCATTAAATATACCAAGAACATGAAGATCAGTTGACCTATTGCCTATAGTATCTAACTAAGAAATAAATCTAACCAAAAAATGTAATGTTGACAAATGAACCATGAAAATAAGGTCATGGTCAAAAGAACCCTACTAGACAGACATGTACACCTTAAAATAAATCTTTGGACCATATATACAGATAATCTATTGCTTTAAGTATCTGAGAAACTGACCAAACCACGAGAACTTAAAGTTGACCAATAAGCTATGAAAATGAGGTCAAGGTCAGATGAACCCTGATAGACATATGTATTCCATACACTCATTCCCTAAAATATATTTGACCTATTGGTTATAGCATCTGAGAGCAGATCTTACCACAAAAAAAAACATTGACAAATGAACCATGAATGAGGTCGTCAGATGAACCCTGCCAAGACATGTACACCTTACAATTATTCCATGCACCTAAATTAGATGACCTATTGCTTAAAAGAATCTGAGAAAAGGGACCTTAACATTAAATCTTAATGCTGACCAATTAACCATTGTTTTGTATATTCTATCTATTATACCATAGGAATTTTACTTTTAACATATGCGATACTAAGAGATTAAACTTACACGGAATTTAAAAGTGAGAAAAGATTTCTTTGTTAAATGAAAAGATAATGAAGACATTCAATTTACAGTATTGCGATTAAAACATAAAAGCGGATTAAATGCAAGTACAAATGTTCCTATAATCACACTGATAATTCCAGGTCAAAATTCATAACTGCTTGGGAAAGGCATTGACACAAATACCATCATATGGGATTGAGTACAGTGATACAAACTAAGATATCAATGACAAGTGTATTTACCTTTATTATCAGATATATACATGTGTTTATGTTTATCTATCAATATTTACTCACATTTATACCTAATAATTACCACCTTTCATTAAACTAAATGAATTTCGCAATTAAATTTACGTTACATGGACTTTGGAAAAGAGATATGATTGACGTTTTTTCATTGTTTCCTGTGCAGCTAACCACTCTCATCCCTATCCATAATTATTTCTATTGAGAAAATAAATGTTGAATAATTCATATTTTGTTTATTGACAGTCTTTATATTTGCATTGCAGATATGTCAATGTTGCAGTAACAAATTCAGAGATTGATTTTTTCTTACAATACTTAACTGCTTAATACATGTTTAATAAACCTATCTGGCAATCTGATGCTTAACAACATGATATTTTGTTTTATTTACAATGTGATCATGGTTAAAGGTAAAAATATTCAGTTTTGGATGAATGATGTAATAAGAACAAAAGACCATATAATCATCCATTGATACTTTTTAACATATGTTTACATTTAGTTTGAAAGATAATATTCTGTTCAATTTAAAGTCATATTATTCAAATTTTTCCTGGTACCCTTTGTAAAACTTAGCATATATTATACACATATGTCGCTTGTTAAATTTGTAACTTGATTTTTACATCATCTTTTTGTGTCCTCGAGTTTGTGTTTCAGTTTTTTTATTCATTCAAAGGGGTTGTATGGGTTTTTGTTCATTGTTGAAGGCTATGCAGTGACATATGGTTGTTAATTTCTATGTCATTTGGTCTCTTGTGGAGAGTTGTCTCATTGGCAATCATACCGCATCTTCTTATTCTTGTATAACACAGATCCACATAAATTCATGTTTTGAATTTAGGTGCTCTGGAAGGGTAAGCCGTTCCAGCTCCCCATGTTGCAAGTTACTCATCACTAGTCATGAGAAAAAAATTATAAAAGACTTTGAATACATAGAAATAAGAAGATGTGGTATGAGTGCCAATGAGACAACTCTCCATCCAAGTCACAATGTGTAAAAAGTAAATAATTATAGGTCAAAGTACAGCCTTCAACACAGAGCCTTGGCTCACACCGAACAGCAAGCTATAAAGGGCCCCAAAATGACTAGTGTAAAAAAATTCAAACAGGAAAACCATCGGTCTTATCTATATAAAAAAAGCGATACACGAGAAACACTTATGAACCACATCAACAAACAACAACCACTGAACAACAGTTTCCTGACTTAAGACAGGTGCAAACAAATGCAGCGGGTTTAAACATTTTAACAGGCGCCAACCGTCACCCTAACCTGAAACAGTAGTGTAACATTACAACATACAAAGACATACTATAAAATATCAATTGAAATGGCTTAACTCTATCAAAAAGACATAGTAACAAAATACAAGTAAATATACACTGAACAAATAAATTTGATCTATGACACAATATGAATATAATATTATTAAAAAAGGGGGGTGTAAAACAATGTCAAAAAGACAACTATAACCTGTGACAAAATGGCGTTAAATAAAATAACGTACACAGAAAAATATAAATATAATAATTTTGTTGTTAGTACAAAAATATTTTTTTTACAAAATAAATAAATTTGTTGTTCATAGTACGAGTACAGAAGTGAAAATTTATCGTCATGCTAAATACTTATCAAAGGTGGTACATATTAAAAATAGTGAGAGAGATATAACACAAAATAAGTAAACATTGACTAACAAAAATGCATTACAATTAATAGTGTCAACAGGTCAAATTAACACGAAAGTACGATTTGAGAGTACTCGCAGTTACTGAAAGCTTGTTAAAAGCCAAAAACAATTAATAATAAAAAAAAATTTGTAAGGGTTCAATGGAACCCAGTGTCTCGCCTACTTTTACTGTTAGTCACAGGCTCAACAAAAATGGGGAAAAAATTATTAAAAATTTTCCTCTAGATACTATCTTTTGATTGTAAGAAGCTTCTATCCAAGTTTGGTAAAAATCCAGGATGGTTTATGAATCTAATAAATGTTTTAAAAACTTTAACTGCAGACTGTATGTAATGTTAACTGAAGAAAAACTAAGTCCATTTATAAGTAATATACAGAAAAACAGGAAATAATTTTTTACAAAATTTCCTTCTAGATACTAGCTTTTGATCATAAACAAGCTTCTGTCTAAGTTTGGTACAAATCCAGAATAGTTTAAGAAAGTTATTAAAATTTTAAAAACTTTCACCACAGAGTGAATGTAATGTTAACTGGCAGAAAAACTAAGTCCATTTATAATTAAAATACGGATAAACAGGATTTTCTTTTTTACAAAATTTACTTCTGGATACTATCTTATGATCATAAACAAGCTTCTGTCCAAGTTTGGTAGAAATCCAGGATAGTTTAAGAAAGTTATTAAAATTTCAAAATTTTAACCACAGAGTGAATATTTGAGGACACCGCTGCCGCCGACAGAATGTAGGATCGCTATGTCTTGCTTTTGCAACAAAAGTCGCAGGCTCGACAATCATGCATCTGACACTAAAATCAATTAAAACACATCTCAGGGATTTAGTGTTTTAACGCCATGGACAGTCAAAGAAGACATGACTTGTGCCAAAATAAAAGTATCGACAGGCAGTAGGATAGTTAGGATTTAACCATATAATAAATATGTATCATGTTATATATAGATAAAGCAATCTCTATATAGAAAATAAACGTGGATGTGTATTTATACATCCCAAAAAACCATTGGAAAAGACTACAAATTAAGTTATGTTTTAATTTGTTGTTGACAAAATCGATATTTGTGCCAATGTAAACAATATTCAAAGATCTTCTTACAACATTAATAAGATAACCTTTACTAAAAAGTTTGTTTAAAGGTGCCATGAGTTTACACAGATCACAAAGTGATTTCCGCGCTTACTAGTTTTAGTACAACATGTATTTCAAAAGAGCATATTAGCCTCTGCGAAAGATTTATTATTTGACCATACAACCCCTTTAATCTGATTTCTTAAATCTATATTGCTTTTGACACCATTTTTTCAGGAAAGGAAATTTTTTTCTGCCCCAAAACATATTTACTAGCCTGGACAGTAAGGCTTGTGATTTATGTGAAGACTTGCATATATGTTGCCAATTTTGACAACTATAAAACATATTTTGTCAGCTTAGACAACTATAAAACAAACAATTATCAACAATCAGACATATTATTATATTTCAGAGAACAACAGATGGTAAAATCATTTGTCTTACCTGCGATAGGCTTGCGATTAGATAAATATGCTAGATTCATCCATATATCTTTTAACCAATTATTTGTTCTTGTTGCCCTGAAATAATAAAATTAATACAAATAAGTAACTTTAATATGCTGTGCACATTAAAGAATAATTCATTATATTCGCCAATAAAGAAAAAAAAAATTAGGAAAGTGATATGGCTACTGGATATAATTTGTCGTGCTTTCTTATTGATTACAGGTTCCTCAAAGGTTAATCGTCTATGGACCTTGCTCAATTCTAGAGCTTAAGTTTAACACTTCAATTCCCTACCAGGTTGACTGTTGAATCAAAAACTTTATTTTTAGCATGTGCTGCTTCCCTCCATAGGAATGGATAAAAGAAAAAGTAAAAGCAGACTAATGTGTAGTTCAGCGACTCTTTTCACCAAATATCTTACAATTAAAATTGATCGCAAGTTATACTGAAATGTGTATGACTTACGAGTAGTTTTACTCTTAATATTTTTATGAAAAGAGTCGCAGGCTATTGTTAAGGCTACCACACACACAAAAATGTAACTCAGTATGTCAGTCTAACGCATAAAAGGGTATCTTCCAATCATAGACTTTATTTCTTATGCAGCATAAATACTGCAATCTGATTGGTTAATTACCCCAGTGTAAATAACACCCCACCCTTGTTCACCCCGGGATAAATAAAATTTTGCCCAAAAATTTTTAAACAAAATTTTGCCAAAATAAAGAAAAAAATTAAATTAAAAAAAAAAAAAAAAATGTCAAAAAAAATATAAAAAATAAAAAATGAATAAATTTGAGGACAAAATTTTTTTCCCCCAAAATTTGAAAGAACAAAAAAATTCTGAATTTCCCCAAAATAAAGAAAAAAAGTATTTAACAATGCGCAGCAACATCGACGTTGAAAAAATGTTACACTGGAAATTTTTCATTAGCATTTTTCAATTTTACATCCCGGTTTAAAAATGGGTAAAGGAATTGTTCATAAGAAATAAATTCGTTATCTTGGTGTAATCAGGGATGTACGGAATTTTACACCGTTGTTGAAAATTCATACATCCATTCGGCTGCGCCTCAGGGTGTATGAATTTTAAACAACGGTGTAAAATTCTGTACACCCCTGATTACACCAAGATAACTAATAGTATCCCATTTCTTATACAGGTCAACAAGGTGCATTTTTTGTAGACCTGTTATTTATTATTTCAAGTTTATGTTATTTTCAAAATGATAAAGCTGCAATATGTTGCAATTGATTAAAATATTGAAAGGGAAAACGTTCTAAATGATCCCATGCTTTCCCAGGGCACTCTTAGGGAACTGAGATATCATATCATTTTATTTTCTTTCATCATAAGAATTGAACATACAATACCTTGAAAAAAATACTTGACATTTTGTATTCCAAAGTTTTACTAGGGTAAAATTTCAGTGAACACGAGAACACTGCCAATAGTAAGAAGGTGTAAATGTCAAAGTCCCCCTGAGCTATAAGGGTAAAAAAAAACAATCTTGATAATGGTATTTTTTCTTTTTACACCCCTACATCCTCCCCTTCTGACAAAAACAAGGTCCTTAAACCTTCATTGGATTCAAATATAATTTGTTTCAATTCTTGATTGTAATTAATTTGTAGTTGTTGCCATGGATTTCTGTTTACATCCAACTTAAAATACCTATAAAAGTTATTTATTGAAGTTATATGCAAAATACCAAAACTAAAATTTCTTATGCAACTAGGGTAGTTTTGATGTGGCAGACAACATAGTAACAAGTAATTTTAAAAAGTTAACACTGTCTATTTTTAGTAACTGATATTGACATTTACCTGAAAATACAGGTAATCACTGTAAGAATATTGAATGTGACATCATCCATAAAATTCCAATGTTTATTGCCAATTTTAAAGATCATATCTTAAGTAAAGTACAAATGTAAAAATTTTCCAGCTGCTTCCGAGTATGATTTTTTCAAGCATGAAAATTAATAGGAATATATTTACTTAAAATGAATTTTACTTTTTTAACATTTTTCAATAAACTGCTTCGCTAAGATTTCTTGCTGTTGTGCAATACACTGTGCTGTTGCGCAATACTTAGTAAATTTGTTGTCAGACTATAAACAAATAAAGTTCAATTTCTTCTCCATGTCATATTTGAAATTTATGAAAATCAATAGGGAGATTACATCAATAGCTATAAATAATTCACCAAGGTTTCATGAGAACTGATGAAAGCATTTTTGAGTTATTGTGGAAAAACTGGAAAATCCCCCCTTTTTTAATGAATAAAACCCTATAACTCAGAAATGTAAAATCTAAAATTTATAAAATTCTAAAGGGAGCTTACATCAACAGATATAAACAATTCACCAAAGTTTCATGAGAACTGCTGAAAGCATTTTTTAGTTTTTGTCAGAAAAACTTGAAAATCCGCCTTTTTTTATGAATAAAACCCTGTAACTCGGAAACGTAAAATCTAAAATTCATAAAAATCAAAAGGGAGCTCATGTCAATAGATATTAACAATTACCAAAATTTCTTGCAAGTTGGTGAAAGCATTCTTGAGTTATTGTCGGAAAACAGGAAAATCCCCCCTTTTTTAATGAATAAAACCCCAAAACTCGGAAACGGTAAATCTGAAATTTATAAAAAATGAAAGGGAGCTCACATCAATAGATATAAACAATTCAATAAAGTTTCAGGCATATTGGTTAAAGCGTTTTTGAGTTATGTCCAACATGTTGACGATGGACGGACGGACGGACGGACGGACAGACGGTCAACGGTATACTATAATACGTCCCGTAAACGAGCGTATAAAAACTTTTTAGCAAGCAAATATAACAATATGAGATCTCTAATTATGAAATCTAAATAAGTATATTATACCATTTGATTTCAAAGGATTTGATTCCGAGGTATTTAATTGATATGCTTTATGTTGATAAGTACATAATTGATAGGCGTGTATTAAAAACATGCATATCTATAACAAAGTCTAAGTACTGAGGCTTGACTAAAAACTCAAAGGTTTACAAATGAATTTTTTTAAAGTTTTATTACATAACCCAATTATGCAGCAAAATATGTGTCTTATATAATGGGTAAATAACACAAGGGTGGTCTCTTCCTATATAAAGGTAAATACAGAAGTTACGCTGGTATGGGTCACTTTTTTGGAATGTCAAATATATAAATGAGGTGCAATTTTACAGAGGTAATATATCAATGGGTAGGATTTTATATGTCAATGGGTCAATAATGTTCATCTTCTGTTAAGATGTCTGTAAAAATGGTAACTAATCTTTTTATCTAATTATATGAATGATCCCATGTGGTTAACGTCTAAATAAGATGTCATTGTAGCTGGGAAATATATATAAATGGGCTGTGATTTTCCTACAACTATGTTTGGGTTCAGTTGTTAGCACTTCGTTTTGTGTAAATAGAAAGACATGTGTATATATATTCAAACCCTGTTTACTAGATTGACAAGAGACGTTATGCATACAATATAGCGTAATTTGATATGACATTATAATACGTTACTTAAGTTATGTTAGTCTTTAAAGTTACTAATAAGAGTAGCTTTAATCAGTGTCTCTGTATTGCGGCAAATTCATAATAATATGAATTAGTAGGGATTTTCACATAAATCAATATATGAATGGGGGTGTTTTATACTCCAGTCTGTACCCAAATGGGTATGTTGAGATACCCCCCCCCCCCCCCTTTCCCCAGGTGGTAAATAACAGTTAATAATACTGTACATTGGAAGCATTGAATGTCTGAACTAGGAAAATTGTTAAAAAAAATGTAGGAGTTAAGGAGTGGATATACAAAATGAAAATTAGAACTGGGAAATATTTGCCAAGAAATAGTATGAAACAAGTAAATAAGGAAATTGCAATATTTGTGTAATATGTAACCTAATCCAACCCTCTCTATACCTGTATACTTGTCTAATGTTTCTCTTCTTCAACAATAGAAGCATGTTAAAATTTCAATATTGAACACAATTGAAAATATTCATCTAGTAATAAAAGAAACACATCACTTTTCATGCTTATAAAACGTTCATTCTCTAACTGTTTTCAAACCCCTGATATACATGTATTGCTTTACTGTAAGATCAGTAACAAACAAGTAATGATAAAACAATCCATAGTACACGGATGCCCCACACACACTATCATTTTCTATGTTCAGTGGACCGGAAATTTGGGGTCAAAACTCTAATTTGGCATTAAAATTAGAAAGATCATATCAAAGGGAACAAGTGTACTAGGTTTCAAGTTGATTGGACTTCAACTTCATCAAAAACTACCATGACCAAATCTTTAACCTGAAAAACTTTAACCTGAAGCGGGACAGACGGACGGACAAACAGACGCACAAACCGATATAAAAATCATCTTATGATGCATTTAATTACCCTGGAACATTGGAAAATACTGGGTTAGTATTGTCACCATAGTAATGGATAAACCTTTAAGATATATTTGGGATCAAATTCCTACAGACATACACATATATATATAATTATTTCCTTGAAAGTATAGGATTTCCATTCATTTACAGGATAAATGAGATTTAAGAATAATATTTTCATATTCTTTTTATAACGTACAGTTGTAATTTTATTGTCATTAAGCTTGTTTTGTCAGATAAAAGCATAAAATAAATAACGATCGGAGTTTCATTGATTTTATGAAATATTGTCAGGATTAAAACTATGGAGTCAAGTATCCACAAACAATAAATGTTCGAGAAACATTATCTTTAAAGCTGTCTAGCAAATAAAAAACTCAAATAAAAACAGTTTTTTACATACAGCAATTATAATACTAATACCAGTCTTTAATATGCTTAGAACATTTTCAATATAATACATTTTAAAAGTCTGAAATTCAAAGCCAAATATATTCCTAAACATGAACATGTGTTCATGGATATGAATATGTGTTCATGGATACCATGCCTGGAATCTTGGTCAAAACCCTAATTAAGCATATGTAATATTTCACTTCATTATGAACATGTGTACTTACTTTCATGCTGATGTGACTTCAACATGTTCAAACTAACTTAGACCAAAACGTTAGCATGAAACAGAACAGACAGACAGACTCAACAACTAGAAAACATACTTGCCCTCTATCAATGTAGAAAGGAACATAAAAACAATTTTAAAGGATATAGGGGGCCAATATACATTTGTGACTCTTCTGGATATCTCACCTTTGTAAAAGATAACTCTGTAAAATTGGTCCATCTTTTTCTTTAAAATCAATAACTTCTGTTAATAAATTCCTGTAGTCGTCGTCAGACAGTATGGGTCTCATGGATGCAAGGAATCTATAATGAGTAATAAATAGTTACTATACCACTAGTTTTCTAGTTGTCTTTTCTGCTTTTAAAATATTGTATTGTTGCTGTCTCATGATCCCCCTCCCATCCCAATCCCTTTTTATTCATTTATGGGTATTTTGCTTATTTTTATTGTGATTTACTGTTCTTTCTACATAATAAATATTAAAAAATTTTGAAGACTTAACGTAACATGAAATAGAAAACACAGGAGGAACAGTGAAATCGTAGCATATTGTAATCATGGTAATGGAATAAAATAAATATTTATCTTTGTCTCATTTATCTTTGTCTCTCTAATTTTGCAATCAGATTTACACAATATGAGTTAAATGGAATTGTAATTAAACCAGTTTTCAAGGTACATATACACTAATAAGTAAATACATGTAAATTTAAATGGACAAAAGCAACTTCTTATATTCAAGTTTTAGAAGACATTTCTGTTCTTCCCTGTTTTTGTTGGGGTTTGTGTTGATTCTCCTCAACTTTCTCTGTCATGTTTTTTTTCGGCTGTTTATTGTCTCTAATAAATGTTTTTGACAAGAGCTTCTTTTATCCATGGTGATGTTTGTTTTTTAAACTTATCATGTATGATTGCTTCTTATTTCCCTTCCCATGCCTGTCCGGGGGGTGGGGATTCTTATATTTTTATGGTAGGGATGAGCAGTTAAGACATCTAGCACCCCAACTTTTACATATATTTTGAATATTAAAAAACAACATAATCCTATGATATATTCTACAAACAAAAACAGACCTATACATTGTAAGTACTTTTCATGATTATTTTGTTTCCACAATCCCCAGAAATATCATCAGTGTTTTTAAACCCAATCAATCATCTTGTGAACATTTGCAGGGCTGGATCCAGGATTTTGTATTTCCAGATAACGTAATAGATGCAAATTTTTTTAAACTATTTTATGATTAAAAATAATATAAATCATGAGAAACATGAGATTCATAATGTTTTTTGGCAATCAAAGGGAGTGGGGGAAGCATATAGCCTTTACACCATACTTTGACCTATAATTGTTTACTTTTTACACATTGTGACTTGGATGGAGAGTTGTCCCAATGGCACTCATACCACATCTTCTTATTTCTATTTATGCCCTATCTTGGATACGCCACTAATTTGTGCTTGTAATTTCTTGAAAGGATTTATTCATATTTTGTCTTTATTTTTGTGTTTAAACAATTCTTTTACAAATTGCCTAATTATTTTTTAAATTATTTTTCAACTATATATGTATGTATCAAGGATTTGTATAGTGAGATCTCACTATATAAATCCTTGTATGTACAAAAAAATGTATATAACATTTACATATCTATTATTCAATTAAACGTCATAATTTGTGACACAGGATGATGTATGAATTACATGTTCTTGTCACAGGATATGATCTTAATCACACAATCATTTAATTTTGCAGAATATAATTTTCAATCAAACAGGGTGATATCTTGTTTGAAGTTGGTCTGATTTACAACTCCCTTTGACGGAAATTACCTATACAATAAAAACTGAGAAATATTTCAAAGTAAGTTACCCGTAATTCCCATTATTCATGCACTGTGACCATACACCACCAACAGTGTTTTTAGAACCATATCATCTTGTGTACATGTGTACTGTAGCTACTGTAGCTTCTTTAAACTTTTTTTCTTGTATCTTTGTGTTTATGCAATTCTTTCACAAATCTTCGAAATATTTTATCAACAAAATGTATAAATAAAATATTTCCAAGTCATTACTACCACTGCTGGTGAAATGTTAGTCCTTAAGGGTATCACCAGCCCAGTAGCCTGTACTGGCATGAAAATACCGATATTGTGTTATTTTAATTTGCTGTTACAAAATTTCGAAATAATTTTAAATTAAGGAAGATATCTCCCTCATGCAACTCTCTTGATTCCTTGCCCAGCTTTGGCTATACTTTTTGTCCATTTTGGTCTATACGCTCTTTATCATTTAAATAAGTTCTGGATTTTCAAATATTTTGGCATCAAAATGCAACCATCACTGAAGATACTTTTATTGTCATAGGACATCTGGTGCAGAAAAATTGGTACCGTAACTTAATGTCATTACAAGTCTATTAATATATCAATTAACTGTCATAAGATATTTAGTGACACAAGATGATGTATGAATTACATATACATGTCACAAGATATCTTAATCAATAATCAAATATTGAAAAATATATACGATGTAAATATCACATGATGTCTCAACCACTCACTAATTGCATACATTATCATACCTGTCACATGACGTATTCAGGTCTGGTACTGGTAATTTTGGTAATACCTCCTGGAAGTAGTATGTTGGGAAGTTTCCTTTGCCTCTCATAGCATTTAACATAAGACCCCACATCTGAAATTAGAAAATATATTTTGTTGAATTTAAAAATATATTAAAATTTAAGTGCTTTTGAATTTAAAATGTATCAGACATCATAAATTTGTAATTCAATATGATATTTTTTGCTTTGTGCTTTTGTTACTATAAAAGATCAAATTTATTTATGTATAAATTCCCAGCACTAGAATAGAGTCTCATTATGCCAATATACTCCTTTACACCTAAATTTCAAAATACATAAATTTGTAATTTAAATATTTTGAAATTTGATTCTTCTACAATTTATTTTCTGCATCAAAAAATACTTTGTACATGCTTGTTAAACTCTTAAAAAAACAATAGGTTTGAAATTTTTTATGCAGGAAATACATAGATGTAGTGTTAATATTCAATGTTGTAAATGTAGGATTGATTGATTGTTGGTTGCTTAACGTCCAGTGGCAAATATTTCATGCATATTCAGGACGAGAACATATTAACAATAATTACAATAGGTAGGTTCCGTAACAGAGGCGTCTTGGATTAAGGTCAGAGAAATTTAGACTGCCACAGGAAGTAAATGTAGGACAAAAATAATAAACCTGAGAGTTTTCTACTAAATTTACAAGATTGAATTGCAATGTTTTGATATCCAATTGTTCAATGTAACAAAATGTGTTGTACTTGTTGTAATTAAATCTATAAAAACAAGTCATTTTAAGATTAAAAAAATTATTCTGAAAAAACCCTGCCTGCTTTTCAACAAAAAATAAATGGGGAATGTGTCCACGGGACACAGATGATGCTCCAGCTTGCATATCATATAAAGTTATAAAGGGGCATAACTCTGGAACAGTAAAAGCTACACCACCAAAATTCAAACGTGATCTGTGTTTTGTGGTAATAAGCATTGTGTATAAGTTTCATTACATTTACACACAACAACAAAAAAAAAACAAATATACCAATCATTTCCATATAAGAACTCATTCAAAATATCCATATATTATCAGAATTAAATGCAATGATTGGGGGAAAAATGTATTTTTATGAATATTTGACTTTATGGTTATGTCGAATTCTGCATGCAAGATATAAGAAACTTGCATTTAGTTGAACACTTGATGATTGATTGTCTTTTAGAGTTTAACACCATTTTGAGCAAGTTTGACTATATCCTTGTGACTGCTTTTTATTGGTGGATGAAGTCAAAATGCAGACAGAGAACCAACAACCCTTGGCAGGAAAACTGGCAATCCTAGTCTAATAAGATCGGAGTCAAACACACCTTCCACTTGCAACCTCAGTATTGACAGGCTACTGATCACTGTCATTGACTGTAGATGAACTACTTGGACCACTTGGTCACTAAGGCCCTGTAACACTTGAACAACTGGTTCTGACTTACATTTATGCCCTCGAAATCCAACAAAATTACATTAGTACCCAATAATAATGAATCTAGACAGTATTTCCTACAAGTTGAGTATTCAAGAACAGACAACTGCAAACAGGGACTTTTTCTATATATCATGATCATATCCCTGCCATCCTAAAGCAGGAAGGATATAAACGAAATATATAAAGATAGAGATTGTAATACCAGCCTATCAGGTTAAAAATTTTTGACCAAGATATAAACTTTTCATTTATAGCCTTGAACGACTTGACTACTACATACACAATAATTATATAATAATTATCATATATAGACCTGGAGACTACAGTCTACTTTATTTATCTTCCTAGCAAATGACATGGAAATTGATTGATATGTTTGCTTATGCCATATGTATTCAGGGTCCAAATAACTCAGGCATAAACAAAACTGTGCTGTTTAAGTTGTATAGAAGAAAGTTCAGATTTAAATAGAAAATTATCATGAATTAAATTTAATGTATTTGTCAACCTAAAACCAATGTCCATTTTCTTATGTCACATTGATATTGCCCTTCAAAAGGATTTGAAAGATAAAAAAATCAATAGTGGAGCTATTGGATACTTATATTTTCTTTGTCTTTTTGTTTGTGTGTGTGGGGAGGGGGTTCATTGTGAATTTATTTCCAATAATCATTGTCAATAACAATTCATCCCCTCCCCCTACAGTTATAAGCTGATGTTATGTAATTTTAACAATTTTTCTTGTTTACCTATACAAATGTGAAAATTTACATTCAAAGAAACATGTAAAAATCGTGTTTACAAATACATGTATAATACTAGTACATGCGATAAAGAACTATTACAACATCAGTGGTAATTTCTTTCTTTCTAAGTGTTATTCATTTCCTATTGATCAACAAACATGTACATGTACATGTATGGAAATCAAAAACTAAATAAATAGGAGGAATTATTCATTTCCAATTGCAACCACCTGTTAGGTTTGGTGGTCACATGCTTAATTGGGGGTCCAGATGAGGTTTACAGAATATGAAATAATGAGCCAAATATAATGAATAGGGAATAATGTAGCGTTAAAACACAACGAATAGAGAATAATGAAAGGGGGGCCAAATAATAAAGAATAGAAAATAATAAAGTGTTAAAATATAAAGAAAAGAAAATAATAAGGGAAATTTAAAGAATAGAGAAAAAATTACCTAAAATCTAAAATTAAAGAATAATGAAATGAAGACCCCTACTGACCCTCATGCTTAATGGAGGTGTAAAATTTCATAGCTTTTCTCCAGAATGGAACAAAATATTTGTACATACATGTATATTATGACTTCTCTATTCAGATAGTATTTAGGAGCCAAAAACTGATTGACTCAAAATCAGAATTAATGCATATACAAGTATGTGTTCAGTTCAGCTAGAGATATATTCTTGCAAAGGTTTACATTATGAGTTAGCGTTCAAGGTCTTAGTGTTATTTAACACCAACACATTAACGCCTTAAACATTTATGTAATATTTGCAGCTAGAGGTTATGTAACAATCATTTAATAATTTCATATAAAAATAAGGAGATGTGGTATGATTGTCAATGAGACAACTATCAAACAGAGTTCAAATGATGTGGATGTAAGCAAATATAGGTCACTGTATGGCCTTCAACAATGAGAAAAACCCATAACATATAGTCAGCTACAAAGGTCCCAGACATAAAATTTGAAACAAATGAGACTAACTAACATGCTCAATATCACAGTCTTTTAATGTTCAAAGCATTCTTATAAAAACATCTTGGTGGATACACTTATATAAATAATAAAAAGACAACAATGAATTATTTCTAGTTCTTTCAAAAACATTCATAGTCTACTTAAAAGCACATTTTTGGTACCATGGGCTATCAAAAATCATAACACATGGTCAAAAGAAAAAAAGGCAAACAGTGGTTCACAAAACACATCAGAGAAATCTGAAGATTAAGCAAAACTTACGATACAACCTTCAGGTGCTCTGAGATTAAGTTAGAGTAGAAATCATTTTCCTTTTCAAGTTTGAATAGAATTCAATTGAAACTAGAACACACCCGCGAAATCGCGGGCATTTAGAGAGTAATTGAAAGTATGTTAACTGTTGTAGGATGAATTTTTGTAAAAAATTTTATGACTGGAGAATTTCAGGAAAGGTATCAAAAGTCAAAGGTAATTGGGGACAGGACAATTTGTTTAGCCCTCCCCCTTTTTTCCAAAGTCCATGATTTTTGGTTTTCTGTTTTTCTGTATACTATGACCCATACATATACTATAAATAAAGTGCATTTTCTATTTACTATCAATTCCAAGTTTACTATTCACAGCGGTCACTGATATATTTTATAGAGACTCTCTATATAATATACCAGTGACCGCCGTGGATAGTTAACTTGGAATTGATAGTAAGCAGCAAACACACTTTATTTATAGTATATGTATGATCATAGTATACATAAAAACGCGAAAATAATTGTCCTGTCCCCAAGTACTTTAATATGAAAATTATGTGTAATTAGTCCTAAGTGGAAGTCTTGTCTATGACTTAAAAGTCGGCCCGCGGAAAAAATATCTAGACGCCTTTATTTTTGTTTTCCTACCAAAATAACCCAAAATGAATAATCATAAGCGAGGATGACAAATGTGACTATGCATTGTACCTATAGGACACAGAGGCATGATGATTAATTTATTGTGGAAGGAAGAGAAGCGACTCACAAAATGAGGTCTTCTCATTTAATAGTATAGATTATAAAAGGACTGATAGCTATAACTAAATAAAAAAAAAGAGAAAAGAAAAAATAAAATGTACCTCCCATACATGTAAAATTACCATGATAAAGGACAAAGCCAAAAGCCAAATTAAAATTATCCATAACAATGAAATGTTTTCATCAAGTTTGTATACACAACTCTATCTTATGCCTCTACTTTAAATATATATACATTGTTGGTAATATCATTCCACACCTTAGGTCAGAAATGCCTTTAAAGATTAATTTCAAAGCAAGGTTTTAATTTGTGACATATAATTTCTTTATCTGAAAATTTTATTTGAAATAGGTGATAATCATGATAATAATTAACCTTTTCATGACCCAATGACAAAATTTTGAGGTCATAAGACCTTAATAATTTTAATCACTGGACTTTGTACTTATGGTTTGTTATGGTTTAAGAACTAGGTAAACTCACCTATTTGATAAAAGTAAAGCTCAGTCAAGTTCAATTAACTTCGAATCAATGACATGTAAAAGTGGCTTTTAAATGGGAAGCTTATTTTTATCTTATACTTTGAAGTAATATTTATAAATATAATGCATTTCAACTGTGAAGATTGTTTCATTTTTTTTCATCAGAACTTAAAGTGTTTTCTACATTATTTTTTACACGAGTCATAGTTTGATGTTCTGAGACTTCAAACTACTTAAACAAATACTTATTTAATTACAATTTGTCTACAATCTACATTTAGATATTGGACTAATTTTTCTGTGATTGGATCATTTCTGTGTTCAACTTGTAATCTCTGTTTTACAATGTCTTGAAACATTATCAAAAGTAATGGTTCCAGTGATACCAATCACCATTGGCTGTAGAAGGACAATTGTTTAATAACAACTAGCTGTTGTCTGTTGTTCAGGTAACTTTTAAACCAATATAATAATTTCCCCTCCACACTGTATAAAACTTTCTAATACATGTATTAACACCAACCTATAGTTTTTTTTAAGTAAAAATTTATTCAGATTGGTCCACTTCATCTTAGTGAAAGTATGAAAAAAGCTTAATTGTGAAATTGTGATTTTTTTTTCACAAGAATAGCCCAAAAAGGGTTAAAAATTGATGAAAAATGGGAAAATCATAAAAAATGGGTAACTTTCAAATGGCTGTAGCAAAAAAAGAAGTGCACCACCATATGATTTTTCCTTCATCAGTTACTTTCTAACAGTCATATAAACCCAAAAATCAGGTTCAGAAAAAATTTTAATTCTAGAAATTTTTGGCTCCTCAGAGGTGTACATGTACATGTACACCCTTAAATAGATTGAAATAAAACTTCAAGAACAAAATTAGCAGGGGTTTCTCATTTCATAGACAACAATTTATCCCTGGAGTAGCTTATTGCTATTTTGTTTTACCATACATGTCCTTGCAGTAAGAATTGTACTGATCTTTAATAAGACAATTTCTACTATGTAAATATATATATTATTGCAGTATATAAGCGTAAGAAATAATGATCAAACAATTCTTGCATGATTTATGATGCATTGTTTGTGGGAAATTTATGTTTGCCATAAAACAAAGGTGAAATGTTGATATGCATATAACTTTATTATTGTTTATTGAGACGTAATACATGTAACTATATTTCTGCCCATGAAATTTGGACTTAAGGTCATTTTATTTTTGGTTTATAAATTACAATTAATTGTAAATTGGTATCAAAAGATTAGCAATATAATCTGATAATAGACTAATTTCAAGGTTTCACTGCTTTTCATCTTTTATACAAGTTGTATTCATCTTATACTTTTAAAGTTTAATTTACGACATTCTTTATGAATCAGAAATAGATGCTCCCTCAGGAGACCCCCATTTTCCTCCCATCATGCAATTTTAAGAATTACATGTGCAAACTTAGGAGGGAGCACAAGATCTGAAACTTATCTCAAATTCTAACTGGTAAAAGGAACTCATATATTTTCAAAACTGGTTTTAAAATAAATTATTTATTATAATAATGATTCTTTTGTTCAATGTACATGAAAACGTGAGAATGTATATGTATGTATGTAAATACTGGGACTAATAATATATGTACAAGTTGGTTTAAGGTAAATATTATTAAAAAAGATCTAAGAAACAATAAATGTTACATTAAATTTCAATCCATATATTGGCATACAAACTGGGCTAAGAAAAATGTGTTTTTCCATGCAGTTACAAAAAAAATCCCAAACAACAATGAAAATAACAAGAAAATAATTATGGTATAGTACATTGAATGAAAAATTAACACCTTGTTCACAGAAATCCTCGTTTGAATGTTACACCTTATTCTCTCCCTGACAGTATTTTTTTTCTGTATCATGTTTAAGAGGTAGACAAAATGTAAGGAAATTATGAAAAAGTTAAAGAATTTGGTATTATCAGTGTGGTTTACTATGATGACAATGTTGTTTGAAAAGACAATTGTCATTCCTCTATAATTTTGACAGCTAAATCAATGCTTGGCAGACCACTATTCAGAGAAGGGAAATAAGCATAATTTACAAATATTCTTACTTTTGTTGTGGTTGACTTAGGGTTATGCATCCAGCCACGATAGTTCAACAACATTTTGAAAAGTTGTAGCCGCATCAAAAGAAGTATCCTCACAGTGCCAAAACCAACAATAAAACCTAGCAGTGCGGTATTCATCTGATAAGGCAACCCAGACAGTTCTAGCCATTTTTCGCCAAAATCGACGTAACTTCGGACTGGATCAGAGAAAACTGTAAATAATATTGCGGATAAAAAACCAACTGCCGATGCTTCACTGTATTTTCTGTACTGCATCATTCTTCCAGTGGCACCAAGAAACGGTGCTATTGCTGGACTAGGCATTTTGGTTCTACGCGGCCAGACGCAAGTCCTAACTATAACCCTTCTTAGACTTCGCTGTTTATTGATTGGTATCCCAGGGTTAGAGTAAAACTCCGAGGTGCTCCAATAAACTTCCGCTGTTGACGTAAATACTAGACTGGTTACAACTATATCCGATTTGGACGAAAAACATTAAGTTGAATTCGTAAACCAGTCAATCGTAATCCAAATTAGAAGGCAACGCCCTCTTTTTCAACGCGCAATTGGTTAAACAAAACACACCTTTGGCGATTAAAGATTTATTAATAGATTTGACCTGTATTTATTGTTACGTAAATTCAGGGACATATATATTGACGTTAGATATACTGTTCCGGTAAATTTGTCACTTCAATATATAGAAATATGTATAATGAACATTTATCTAGACAGGAGAACCCGGCAGTCTAAGAAAAAAAAGTTAACGATTTTGAGTTCATTAGTAGATTTGATATTTTTTTTAATTAATTTTTCTACTGTAATTGGGGACTTTGTGTGTGTGAGGTGTGTGTGTGTGTGTGTGTGTGGGGGGGGGGGGGGGGGGGGGGGTATATCGTGTGTCAGCACGGTGTATTTTTTATACGACCGCAAACAAATTTTTGTGGTCGTATAGTCGTATATTGGTATGACGTTGGCGTCGTCGTCGTCGTCGTCGTCTGGCGTCGTCCGGCGTCGTCCGAAGACACATTGGTTTTCGCACTCTAACTTTAGTTTAAGTGAATGGATCTCTATGAAATTTTACCACAAGGTTCAATACCACAAAAAGGAAGGTGGGGATTGATTTTGGGGGTTATGGTACCAACAGTAAAGGAATTAGGGGCCAAAAAGGGGCCAAAAAAAAGCATTTTTGTAACTTCCAGACATAACTTGTGTGTTAGTGTATGGATCTCTCTGACATTGTACGTACCACAAGGTTCATATCACAAAAGGAATGCTGGGATTGATTTTGGGGGTAATTGCCTCCAAATTTTAGGAATTAGGGGCCAAAAAAGGGGCAAAAAACAAGCATTTTTCTAGTTTCATGACAATAACTTGTGTGTAAGTGTATGGATCTTTATGAAAATGTACTACAAGGTTCCATATCACAAAGGGAAAGCTGGAATTGAGTTTGGGGGTAATTGCCGAAACGTGTAGGAATTGAGGGTCAAAAAGGGGCCAAAAATAATCATTTTTCTAGTTTCCAGACAATAACTTGTGTTCAAGTGTATGGATCTCTCTGAAATTGTACTGCAAGGTACCATGCCACAAAGGGAAGGCTGGGATTGATTTTTGGGGTAATTGCTTCAAAATTTTAGGAATTAGAAGCCAAAAAGGGGCAAAAAACAAGCATTTTTCTAGTTTCAGGACAATAACTTGTGTGTAAGTGTATGGATCTTTCTGAAATTGTACTACAAGGTTCCATATCACAAAGGGAAAGCTGGGTTTGAGTTTGGGGGTAATTGCCCTAAACGTTTAGGAATTTGGGGCCAAAAAGGGGCCAAAAAACACATTTTTCTAGTTTCCAGACAATAACTTGTGTTCAAGTGTATGGAGCTCTCTGAAATTGTTCTGCAAGGTACCATACCACAAAGGGAAGGCTGTGATTGAGTTTGGGGGTGATGAATCATAAGGGGGTTTAAAAAATTGGGGGGGGGATTTTTTTTTTTTTTTCCTTTTTTTTCTTTTCTTCATTTTTTTTTTCTTTTAAAATTTTTTATTTTAAGTTGGTTATTTCTGATTTATATTTAAAAGCAAATAATAATGATATGGTAGGAGATACACACCAAACAGGATGTGTAAATTATTATATAATAAGTATTGTGCAATAGCAAGAAATTTTCAATTGCACAGTATTGCACAATAGCAAGAAATCTTCAATTGCACAGTATTGCGCAATAGCAAGAAATCTTCAATTGCACAGTATTGCGCAATAGCAAGAAATATCCAATAGCACAATATTGCTCAATAGCAAGAAATTGTCAATTGTACAGTATTGCGCAATAGCAAGAAATATTTAATTGCACAGTATTGTGCAAAAGAAGATACTTCGTATAAATTGCTTATTTCTTGACCAATTTCAATGGGGTTTTATTCTTGAATTCTTTGGGTTCTTTAATATGCTGAATCTAACCGTGTATTTAGTTTTTGGATTTTGGGCCCCGTTTTTAAATTGGTCCACATTGAGGTCCAAAGGGTCCAAAATTAAACTTTGTTTGATTTCATCAAAAATTGAATTATGGGGTTCTTTGATATACCGAATCTAACCGTGTTTTTAGATTCTTAATTTTTGGTTCCGTTTTCAAATTGGTCTACATTAAGGTCCAAAGGGTCCAAAATTAAACTTAGTTTGATTTTAACAAAAATTGAATTCTTTGGGTTCTTTGATATGCTGACTCTAAACATGTATTTAGATTTTTGATTATGGGCCCAGTTTTCAAGTTGGTCCAAATCGGGGTCCAAAATTAAACTTTGTTTGATTTCAACAAAAATTGAATATATGGGGTTCTTTGATATGCTGAATCTAACCATGTATTTAGATTTTGGATATCGGACCATAATAGGTGAATGTCTAATTTAAAATTTTTAAGTTCTTAGACCACATTCATTCTGTGTCAGAAACCTATGCTGTGTCAAATATTTAATCACAATCCAAATGCAAAGCTGTATCAAGCTTGAATGTTGTGTCCATACTTGCCCCAACTGTTCAGGGTTCGACCTCTGCGGTCGTATCAAGCTGCGCCCTGCGGAGCATTTTATTTATATTGGTTTAAATTTTCGACAGTGTGTGTGTGTGTGTGGGAGGGGGGTGGTTATATCATATGTGAGAGTTTTTTTTTACATTGGTTTGAATTTTCGACAGATATATTCGTTTTTTATTGTTTTTCGACTAAAATAAAAACCAAATGTATTTTTCTTACCACGTCGAAATGTTCAGATTTTTATTTCGATTGTTCAGAAACAATATAAAAGGAGTGTGTATTCCGACTGAATCACTAGCAGTAAATATAGCAGTAAATATATGATATATAAAGCTGGTATATTCTATATAAATGTGTTTTAATAAAAATATTTTACAGAACTTTCAGAATATGCACGATTAGATAGCAAATTCCCTTATATTAAATATGTCAACAGAGATTCAGCATGGCCGTAAATACATTGAGGCAAATGAGGCAAATGCCTCATGTTGGAAATTTAAAAAAAATATATAAGTTGAAACAAAAGCCTGTCTTCATATCAAATTGTTTTCACGGCGAGTGTCTTGCAAGGAGCAAGTTCTGTTCATCCTCTGACGTCGCCCCTGTTTTTTTCGGGATCGGTGTTTCTCAATTATTTTTAGTTTTCAGTGTTGATTGTCTATTTAATATAAAAATAAGGAGATGTGGTATGATATTGTTTGTCGTTATGTGTCTAATGTGTCTTATCAACTTGCCGGAATATTCATCATGTCGAATGTGGGCAGTATTTGGAAGAAGAAGAAGATCTGTTCCCGAGTTTGTCTTTTGTTCATTGATTGCCCTTCTTTATGACTATTCTCTTAGTGTTGAATTTCATTGGTAAATTAGTAATTTTGTTTTAAACTTGAGTTTTATTATATTTAAGTACTTTTTGTCTAATTTTCAATACTACTTTAAATTGTAAAAATATTTGAAATTAGCTCTCGCCTTTTTGTTCTGAGGCGGCGTTAAGCGAACACCAATCAATCAATCAATCAATCTTTATGACTAAAGCTTCAGTTGTCAAATTCCTTTGATAACTGTGTATCATTGGCACTCATACCACATCTTCTTATCTATAATGGCAGATTACAGTGTTGATGATTTTTTTAAATAATAGTTTGTTGCAGCGTATGGCTAACATTGTTCATATTTACACAGTCAACAGCCCCAAGCCTATTCAGGGTGTAGATAAGCCAACGATTATCGGGGCTTGCGCAGGCCCCGGTTATAATTTATTTCATCTCATATATATCTTGATTCTCGAAAACCAAAGTACAATGGTATAGCGACATATACAAATAAATTAACATACATAATATAAAATTTATGTACAAATGTAAAGTAGTGACTTAGTTCTAACGGTTTGAACGCAGCAAAGATGTCATTGGAAAATTGGTTACAGACTGGTTCTTGGTTCTTCCCGTAACATTTGTATGTTGTGAACGTTCATTCTCTGCTATGTGTAGACTTAAGATTTGGGAAAGATCTACGATGACGGGTGAACGGTTGTGTAGTTTGGCAATGTTACATGTCCACCGATGTCCAGATATTGTTCGAGAAAATGAGGATGCGATGCTACCGGACATAGAAAAATTGGTCGTTTTTTCATGGAAAATTAAACTTTATATTAAAGAATACAAATTAAACTGGCTCTCTTTTCTGTAAATAAAACTGCCGGAAAAGCTGACGTGGGTTAAATTAAAGTGAGACAACCAATCTCCCGGAATCAAATCATTTAAAAAGAAAAATAATGTATTGCCATATGACCTGTTACATTAAAGGGCTAAATTAAGCCGTGTCCAGGCCCTTGTATAGAAGATAAAGGGGTATGGAGTAAATGTGCAAGGAACAAAATCGCATACAATACACAGAAAAAAATACAAATTATCAATGAACAGGGCTTTTATTCCTGTTCTTCATCTTGAAAGTCGCTGGAGGGTCTTCAACAATAAACGAATCATTCATACTCTACAACAAGGTCAAGATGGCCCCTAGCGTCGACTTAAGCGGTACTTAAGTATTGTACTGTGAATAAATTTCAAAGTCACAAAAAAAATTACACCAAAGTCTAAACACAATACAAGACCAGAACAGACACATCCGACATTAATCAGCCGGTATAATATTAAAACAGCGCAAAAATGTAGCAAACAGTAAAACAACAAAAATACCGAACCCCAAGGAAAATCCAAAACGGAATGTCCCCTACCAAATGGCAAAATCAAAACCTCAAACACATCAAACGAATGGAAAACAACTGTTATATTCCCGATGAGGTCTAAGAATAGTTTTCCTGAATCTACTATGAGTGTATCCTTTTATCCCAGTGAGGAACTACATCAAATTGTAATTGAAATGCGTTATAAAAACTGAATTGACAT